AACAAACTGTTGAGAGGCACAGAAAGTTCCAGAAGCCTTTCTGAGGCTCACAGTCCTTAGACATAGAGCTGGGAGGAGAACCGAGTGTTCGGGAGGACTCAATGACTGCTCCTTCTCCCACCTCCTTCACTTATTCAAGTTCTTGCTACCTGGAGTAGGGTGGAAGAACAGAAGTGCCCAGTGCCTACTGTTTGCCAGATTCAATGTTCTGTTGAAAGTGACTCTGTCAGGACCAGCAGTTAGCATAATGGCTATGTCACTGGACTCCCACGTAGTCGACTATGGTTAGAGTCCCAGACCCAGTGACTTAAACTCATGCCAGGCGTGTGTGCGTGTGTGCCCAAGATCCCAAGAGGAGAATGGAGGAGAAGGGATTGCGGCATGGCCATCCCCCCTGAGGAATGATTTCTCGCTTTCTGTCTCTCTGCCTCTCTCTCTCTCTCGCAAGTGCACGCGCCCTATAGCAAAAACCTCTCCCCTCCCCGCCCCCTCAAAAAAACACAAAAACAAAAACAAAACAAAAGTGACTCTGTCTCTTTTGGGAAGGCTGATGGTATCAAAAGCCAGAGTTCAAGACACAGAAATCGTCAGGAACTCAGAAGTCTGACCAGATCCATTGTCAGGGTTTCTAAGGGATTGAAACAGGAGCTGGATGTTCTTTTGCTAATTTAGGCATGAGTCACATGCTGAATATTATTTTTCAATTTTTTTCAACTATTTTATAATTTGATGAAATTTTAGTTATTTAATCATGCAACTAGAAATTCCAGACACTGTCATTATCTATATACAACTTATATGTTAATAGTGCCTAACTGAAAAATTTTTTTTTTTAATTCTCTACTTAGCATCTTGATGACATCCCAGATTCCTAAAAGCCAACACCAGGCTTTCTCTGACTTATTTGTCAGACAGTTCAAGTGGCACAAAATTATAGTTATGGGGTCAGTCATTGCAATTGCGGTGAGTATTCCTTTTTCCACTTATCTCTATCTACCCAGAGAGCTTGAACCAGCTACTTTTATCTGGGAGAAGGATGCTGAGAGAAGCTCTCCATTTCCGTTTCCTTCACAGAAGCAGAGTGTCATGGTGGGACAAGTTCTTAGAAGGAAAACGAGCAGTTTGTATTAGATAGGAGTAGCTGTAAGAGAGTCCAAAACTCTGGGCCAAATGAGTTTGTTTGAGCATACAGAACCCTAAGATGTCTCTTTCTCTAGGTTGTAATATTTCTGCTTTACCTCAACTGGCTTCTTTCCAGTTCTTAAAACTGAGAAGGCTACTGTTACCTCCATGCCTTATCTGTAAGGATATCCTGCTCCCTCTCCCTACATTGCTACATAAATAGAATTTTCCTTTTCCCCTTAGTTCTGCTGGAAAAATGTCTAATTCTTCAAAAAGAAACTTTACTAAGAATACATAGGGAAACGAAGCAAAAGAAAACTCAAAGATATAAACCTACCTATTTACAAAGGACAAATCATTGTCTTAAACTATTGAGTCATCGGAAAAGTCATGACACAATTTTACATAGAAAAATACATCATGACTTTTCCAATGGCCCAATAAATAACAATTGGCTTCAAACGGAGTTGCCTCCACAGCATCTTTTGTGGGCATCTGTCCAAATTTTGCAATATTTAGCCTGAGATAAATTAATGTTGCTATGACTAGTTCTGGTGAAACTGAGAATCTTTTCCTTTTTCTTTTTTAAATTTATGTATTTATTTATTTATATTTTATTGTGGTAAAACACATATAATGTAAAATTTACCACCTTAACTGTTTTTGTTTGTTTGTTTGTTTGTTTTACAGGGGAGTGGTATTACATAACATTCATAATGTTGTGCAACAGTCACCACCATTCGGCTCCATAACTCTCTCCGTCTTGTAAAACTGAAACTGCACCCACTGCACAACGACTTACCATCTCCTCATCCTTCCTACCCTGGCAACCACAATTCTATTTGCTGTTTTGTTTTGTTTTGTTGGGGTTTTTTTGGAGAGGTTTTTGCTATAGTGCGCATGCACTTGCCAGACAGATAGAGAGATAGAGAGATAAAAAGCGAGAAATCACCCCCCAGGGGGGATGGCCACACCGCAATCCCTTCTCCTTCATTCTCCTCTCGGGATCTTGGGCATGCACGCACACGCGCCCAGCCTGAGTTTTAAGTCACCGGGTCCAGGACACAAACCGTGGTCGACTACATGGGAGTCCAGTGACGTAGCCATTACGCTAACTGCTGGTCCCTATTTGCTGTTTCTATGATTCTAACGACTCTAACTGCTTCATATAAGTGGAATTATACAGTATTTATCTTTTTGTAACTGGCTTATTTCACTTAGCATGATGTCCTCAAGGTGCATCCATGTTGTAACATGGATGTGCTTACATGAGAGAAAGAGAAGGGGAAAAAGCACCCACCAATGGGACACACTACAACCATACTACAATCCCCTCTCCTTCTGGAGGGATTTGGGGCACGTATGGACACGTGACCAGAGTGTATTTCAAGCCACTGGGGCCAGATTTGAATCATGGTCAATCATGTGGAATCTGGTTCCTTTAACCACTAGGCTATGGGGCTGGCCCCAGATGTCCTTCCTTTTTGAGGATGAATCATGTTCTTTTCTGGGGTATGCCATATTTTGTTTATCCATACATTTGTTGGTTCTTACTTGGGTTGCTACTACATTTTGGCTATTGTAAATAATGCTGCTATGAACATGAGTGTACTAATATATCTTAAAGGCCCTGCTTTTAAAGTTTTCTGGGTATATACCCAGAAACAGAATTACTTTATCATATGGTAATTACATTTTAATTTTTTTCAGAAACACCACAGTGTTTTCTACAGCCACTGTGCCATTTCATATACCCACCAACGGTGTACAGGTGTTTCAATTTCCCCACACAGAAACCAACATTTGTTATTTTCTGTTTTTTTTTCTTTTTATAGTAATCAATCACAATATTTCAATCACAGATTATGTCAAAAACTCATACATGATGACACAGACAACTCCATCCTCCAGGGTCTTAATTAAATGCCTCTGGGACAGGTCTTAATGGCCAGGGTGAAGGAAATGTCTCCTTCTGCCTTTCCACTTCTGCACCAGGTCCTCCTTCCTGATGTACCTACCAAGTTTCCTTTCCTGTTTATATTGATTTTTATTCAGGAGATACGTAAATGGAAAAACATCTGGATATTCCTGGCTTTGACCCTGGAGTGACCTGGGAATATCAAATGGCCAGGAATGTGCATGTATGAGGGGTCTTTGAAAAGTTCTTGGGTAATGTTATTGTGAAAAAATGATGCATGGATTTCAATTTTGGAGGCCACCAAGATAAATTGGTCCTTTAATTCCATTTTTCCATGAAATTTTTAAGTCCTCATGTATAACCTGAATGCTACGAGAAAAGACTGAATAAGAGGGGTCAAAATCCTTGACACTGAGACCAGCAGTTAGTGTAATGGCTATATTGCTGGATTCCCATGTAATCGACCTTGGTTCAAGTCCTGGACCCGGTGGCTTAAACTCACACCAGGCGCATGTGTGTGCGTGCCCAAGATCCTGAGAGGAGAATGGAGGAGAGGGGATTGTGGCGTGGCCATCCCCCTAGGGGATGATTTCTTGCTTTCTGGCTCTCTGTCTTTCTCTGTCTTTCTGGTGAGAGCATGTGGCCTATAGCAAAAACCTCTCCAAAAAAATATAATAATAAAATCCTTGACAATGAAGTATAGCAGAGAGTTAGATGCAGGAGAAATGAATGTCAGAAGCCCTGTTAGGCTATAAAACTGGATTAACTTCTTTCCCTGGAAGGCGTTCTAAGCATTTGTCCTGTGATTTTGAGCCATATGTATGTTTCCCATGAGACAAGGTCAATTTAGGCTTGTGTTTACCTGAGGCTTAAATTTCTGTTGAAGCCTGGAGAGAGCTGGGGCCACAGCACACTCCTTCAGCAACTCTCCCTTTCATTTGTTATTGAGTAGCTTTTCCCTTTGGGGCTTGTCAGCTTTCTTTCACACCTCTTTTCTTTTTGCCTCTTATATAAGGGGTCTCTGGGACCCCATGTGTCCAATTCCCTGGGCTACTCCCTGAGGGAGGGAGAGCTTCTGGTTCCTTCTTCTGTGTGTAAAGAAACTCCTTGTTCTAAGTCTAGACTGGAGACAGTGGAAGCCAGATTGGGAAAATAGGAATAGTAGGGGAAGAAGAATTTATTCCCAGTTTTGAAGTCCAGAGAGAGGACTTATAAGAAGTAGAAAGAGCTAGAGACTGGAGATTGGAGCCAAACCTAGACTGCCCTCTGGTGACAAAAGTCTGTGCAGGTCCTGGGGCAAGACCAGGGACAGAGATATGAGTTATTTTCTGTGGGATTGTGCAAGACCCATGAAATCATTTTAAAGTTTATTCACCTATTTCTTCCTAGAAAGAGAGATGGGGGGGGGTGTGTAGAGTTAGGTACCCTCAGAAAAGTCTTCACACTGAGAAACCCCCAGCCTTGGTCGGCCCAGATCACACAGGCACGGGCAAGACCAGGGACAGAGATATGAGTTATTTTCTGTGGGATTGTGCAAGACCCCAGGAAACATTTTAAAGTTTTTTCCCCTATTTCTTCCTAGAAAGAAGAGATGGGGGGGGGTGTGTAGAGTTAGGTACCCTCAGAAAAGTCTTCACACTGAGAAACCCCCAGCCTTGGTCGGCCCAGATCACACAGGCACACATATGTGCCTGTTGTGTACAGGAAGACTCTAGAGCATGAATCTGGGACCTTCCCACATGGGGCCAGCATCACAGAATATTGCATTACCACTGTGCCACTGGCTGTCCCCTGACATGATTTGAAGCACAAGATGATATCTGCAGGTGTGTGTGGTATGGCTCAGATATCAGACTTTGAGTCTGAGGCAGCATAAGGGAGGCAGGACTCCTGTCCGAGGCCCAAAGGCAAAGGCAGACCAAGTCTAGTGAATTGAAATCTTCCCAGAAAGAACGAAGAGATGCCAACCACTGGCAGTTTCCTCTTTCTCTACCCACAGGTCTTGTACTTGAGGGTTTCCTGGCCTGACAGCGCCAACCCTCAGTCCCTAAGGCCCCACCCCAAGCACCAGTCCTCTGGCTCTCTCCCTCAGAAGTTTGCCAATCTGACCCGGCTTCTGTTCTGGCCTCTGGCCCCAGGGAGTGAGAGGAATCTTTTGGCCTCCACCAGTCCCAAGACTTCCACCTACCACCTAAGGAGTCCTGCTCAGGCCACCTATGCCCGGGGAAGCTCCCTGGAGGCCATCCTTGTGGCCAGGGACCACCGGGGCAAGCCCAAGAGCCACGGTGGGGATCTGTTTCGGGCACAGCTGCTCGGTCCCCACCTGAGGGCAGGAGTCCCTGGGGACATCCAGGATCTGGAGAATGGTACATATTTGTTGTCCTTCCCGCTACTCTGGGCTGGGAGGGCGCTGGTGCAAGTGCGACTAATCCATTCCAGTGAGGCAGCTGGGGTTCTGCGGAGAATCTGGAGAGACCACTGGGCCACAGTCGATTTCGTGGGCTATTTCCGGGGACCCACAGGATATGAAGAAAATGTGACTTGCAATGTAAACCCCCTACAGACTGGGGAAGAAGAGCCTACCTGTTACTACAAGGATGAAGATTCAGGCGAGCTCTGGTTCTGTGCTCAGCCCCCCACCCTGCCCTGCCATTCGCTGGTAGGACATTCAGCTGGACGTTACTGGAACGTGACCGCATCACACGAAGAGGCCCTGATGGGGAGGTAAGAAATCCAATATTATCTGGGGTGTCCACCCAACCCCTGAATCCAGGTCCCTATGATTATTCTGCCTGAACTCCTGCCCTTACCATTCATCTATTCACTTCTATTAAACACATGTTTCCTGAGCACCATGCCAGGTCTTAAGCTATGTGCTGACTACTTATACTTAATAGCACCCCTACCACAAGGTTAACAGGATGGCATAGCATGACCAGGAAGAGCTTTTGTGTTTCGCTCGAAGTGAAAAGAAAGCCATTACAGGATTTTAAGCAGAAGAGAGGCATGATACGATTTACATTTTTAAAAATTTTGCTATAGGCACATGCACTCACCAGAGATACAGAGAGACAGGGGAAAGTGAGAAAGCATCCTCCTGTTGGATGGCCACAATGCACTTCCTTCTCCACTATTCTCCTCTCAATTTTGGGCATACAGGCACTCGCACACAGTTGATCATGTGGGAATCAGCCAACTTAACCACCATGTCCCCCACTGGCCCATGATTTACATTGTAAAAGGATCACTTGGACTTTTGGGTAGAGAATGGACTGCACTGTATGATTCCATATCTATGAGGTACCTAGAATAGTTCAAATCATAGAAACAGAATGGAGATTGGTTATTGCCCAGGTCTGGGTGAGTGAAAATGAATAGTTAAGTGTTTACTGGTTATAGTGTTTCATTTTTGCAAGATGAGAAGAGTTATGGAGATGGGCAGTGGTGATGGCTGCTCAACATTTCGAATGCACTGAATGTCATTAAACTGTACACTTAAAAATGGTGGATGGAGGACCAGCAGTTAGCGTAATGGCTATGCCGCTGGACTCTCATGTGGTCGACCGCGGTTCACGTCCCAGACCTGGTGGCTTAAACTCACACTGGGCGCTTGTGCGTGTGTGCCCAGGATCACGAGAGGAGAATGGAGGAGAAGGGATTGCAGCTTGGCCATTCCCCCGGGGGGTGACTTGTCGCTTTCTGTCTCTCTGTCTTTCTGGCAAACACACGTGCCCTATAGCAAAAACCTCTCAAAAAAAAATGGTGGTTGGGGGGGCCAGCAGGTGATGTGGTGGTTAAGGGTGCTGGACTCCCACATAACCAAGACCCAGAGGCTTGCTTTCTCACTTTCTCTCTCTCTCTCTCTGTCTCGCTCTCTCGCTCTCTCGTTCTGTCCCTCTCTGATCAAATTCAAATAAAAATAAAAAATTAATTAATTAAATAAAATAATTCTTTAAAAAAAAAAAAAGGTTGACAGGACCAGCAGATGGCATATTGGTTATGTCACTGGACTCCCACATAGTCGACTGCAGTGCGAGCCCTGGCCCAATGGCTTAAAACTCACACCAGGCATGTATGTGTGTGTGCCCCAAATCCTGAGAGGAGAATGAAGAAGAGATTGTGGCATGGCCACTGCCCCTGGGGAGTGATTTCTCACTTTCTGTCTCTCTGGCAAGTGCACACGTCCTATAGCAAAAACCGCTCTAAAAAATTTGTTGATGGTAAATTTTATTAATATGTGTTTTACCAGCATGTTTTAAATTGAAGAAAAAATGAAAATGACTGCAGAAGTTTTAGGGAGAAGCAGGGAAAATGAAAAATGAGAAGGTCTTTAGTACTCAGGTAAGAGATGAGGGTGCCTTGGACTCATTTTGTAGTAGTAGTAATATTTTATTTTATTTTTCTTTGTAAAGAATTATTTATTTATTTATTTATTTGATTCCTTGTGTTATTATTATTAGTAGTAGTAGTATTTTAATTTGACCATAAAGAGATAGAGAGATGGGAACCAGCAGTTAGCATAATGGCTATGTCGCTGGACTCCCACGTAGTCGACCGTGGTTCGTGTCCCAGACCCGGTGGCTTAAAACTCGGGCGTGTGCGTGCGTGCCCAAGATCCCGAGAGGAGAATGGAGGAGAAGGGATTGCAGCGTGACCATCCCCCCTGGGGGGTGATTTCTCGCTTTCTATCTCTATGTCTCTGTCAGGAGAGTGCACACGCCCTATAGTGAAAATCTCTCAAAAAAAAAAAAAAAGAGATAGAGAGAGAGAGAGGAACCAGCAGGTGGCGTGGTGGTTAAGGCGCTGGACACTCCCATATGGTCGACCAGGGTTCAAGTCCTGAATCTGGTGGTTTGCTTTCTCACTTCCTCTCTCTCTCAGTCTCACCCTCTGTCTCTCTCTGGTCAAACTAAATAATAATAATAATAATAATAATAACAGCTGGGGTTCTGCGGAGAATCTGGAGAGACCACTGGGCCACAGTCGATTTCGTGGGCTATTTCCGGGGACCCACAGGATATGAAGAAAATGTGACTTGCAATGTAAACCCCCTACAGACTGGGGAAGAAGAGCCTACCTGTTACTACAAGGATGAAGATTCAGGCGAGCTCTGGTTCTGTGCTCAGCCCCCCACCCTGCCCTGCCATTCGCTGGTAGGACATTCAGCTGGACGTTACTGGAACGTGACCGCATCACACGAAGAGGCCCTGATGGGGAGGTAAGAAATCCAATATTATCTGGGGTGTCCACCCAACCCCTGAATCCAGGTCCCTATGATTATTCTGCCTGAACTCCTGCCCTTACCATTCATCTATTCACTTCTATTAAACACATGTTTCCTGAGCACCATGCCAGGTCTTAAGCTATGTGCTGACTACTTATACTTAATAGCACCCCTACCACAAGGTTAACAGGATGGCATAGCATGACCAGGAAGAGCTTTTGTGTTTCGCTCGAAGTGAAAAGAAAGCCATTACAGGATTTTAAGCAGAAGAGAGGCATGATACGATTTACATTTTTAAAAATTTTGCTATAGGCACATGCACTCACCAGAGATACAGAGAGACAGGGGAAAGTGAGAAAGCATCCTCCTGTTGGATGGCCACAATGCACTTCCTTCTCCACTATTCTCCTCTCAATTTTGGGCATACAGGCACTCGCACACAGTTGATCATGTGGGAATCAGCCAACTTAACCACCATGTCCCCCACTGGCCCATGATTTACATTGTAAAAGGATCACTTGGACTTTGGGGTAGAGAATGGACTGCACTGTATGATTCCATATCTATGAGGTACCTAGAATAGTTCAAATCATAGAAACAGAATGGAGATTGGTTATTGCCCAGGTCTGGGTGAGTGAAAATGAATAGTTAAGTGTTTACTGGTTATAGTGTTTCATTTTTGCAAGATGAGAAGAGTTATGGAGATGGGCAGTGGTGATGGCTGCTCAACATTTCGAATGCACTGAATGTCATTAAACTGTACACTTAAAAATGGTGGATGGAGGACCAGCAGTTAGCGTAATGGCTATGCCGCTGGACTCTCATGTGGTCGACCGCGGTTCACGTCCCAGACCTGGTGGCTTAAACTCACACTGGGCGCTTGTGCGTGTGTGCCCAGGATCACGAGAGGAGAATGGAGGAGAAGGGATTGCAGCTTGGCCATTCCCCCGGGGGGTGACTTGTCGCTTTCTGTCTCTCTGTCTTTCTGGCAAACACACGTGCCCTATAGCAAAAACCTCTCAAAAAAAAATGGTGGTTGGGGGGGCCAGCAGGTGATGTGGTGGTTAAGGGTGCTGGGCTCCCACATCAAATAAAAAATTAATTAATTAAATAAAATAATTCTTTAAAAAAAAAAAAAGGTTGACAGGACCAGCAGATGGCATATTGGTTATGTCACTGGACTCCCACATAGTCGACTGCAGTGCGAGCCCTGGCCCAATGGCTTAAAACTCACACCAGGCATGTATGTGTGTGTGCCCCAAATCCTGAGAGGAGAATGAAGAAGAGATTGTGGCATGGCCACTGCCCCTGGGGAGTGATTTCTCACTTTCTGTCTCTCTGGCAAGTGCACACGTCCTATAGCAAAAACCGCTCTAAAAAATTTGTTGATGGTAAATTTTATTAATATGTGTTTTACCAGCATGTTTTAAATTGAAGAAAAAATGAAAATGACTGCAGAAGTTTTAGGGAGAAGCAGGGAAAATGAAAAATGAGAAGGTCTTTAGTACTCAGGTAAGAGATGAGGGTGCCTTGGACTCATTTTGTAGTAGTAGTAATATTTTATTTTATTTTTCTTTGTAAAGAATTATTTATTTATTTATTTATTTGATTCCTTGTGTTATTATTATTAGTAGTAGTAGTATTTTAATTTGACCATAAAGAGATAGAGAGATGGGAACCAGCAGTTAGCATAATGGCTATGTCGCTGGACTCCCACGTAGTCGACCGTGGTTCGTGTCCCAGACCCGGTGGCTTAAAACTCGGGCGTGTGCGTGCGTGCCCAAGATCCCGAGAGGAGAATGGAGGAGAAGGGATTGCAGCGTGACCATCCCCCCTGGGGGGTGATTTCTCGCTTTCTATCTCTATGTCTCTGTCAGGAGAGTGCACACGCCCTATAGTGAAAATCTCTCAAAAAAAAAAAAAAAGAGATAGAGAGAGAGAGAGGAACCAGCAGGTGGCGTGGTGGTTAAGGCGCTGGACACTCCCATATGGTCGACCAGGGTTCAAGTCCTGAATCTGGTGGTTTGCTTTCTCACTTCCTCTCTCTCGATAGAGAGAGAGAAAGGGAAAAGAAAGCAAGCCACCAGATCCGGGACTCAAACCACAATCAGCCATGTGGGAATCTAGTGCCCTTAACCATCATGCCACCTGCTGGCCCCAGTAGTAGTACTATTTAAAGTGATTCACTTTTGGGTATATCTTATTTGTTTTTTTGGGTTTTTTTTGTTTGGGCTTTTTGAGTTTCTCTTACCAGAGGGCACGTGTACTTGCCAGGGTAGGAGAGAGAAAGCATCTCCTCTTGTGGGTGATGGTCATGCCACAATCCCATCTCCATTTCTTCCTCTTTTCAGAATTTTGAGCACAAACACACACACTTGGTGTGATTTTCAAGCCACCAGGTCCAGTTCTCCAGATCATGCAATCAGCCCTGTGGGATCCAGTCACCTTAATTATCTTTTCAGTGGGAATAATCTCCCGATCTTTTGGCCATTCACCATACCTGAATAAAATCAAAATCTTGGATGCGTTTTAAAACAGTTCTGCTTTCTGTGATGGTGAAATCACTGAGGCAAAGAAATTCAAAGAACCTGGATCCCTGAATTCCAGCTTCCAACTCTTCTCTTGCTCCCAAGCCCTCACTGTCTTCCAGGATCCTGATGCTGAAACAGAAGCCCACGACTTGGAGAACATTCTTTCCTCCAAGAACTCACATTTGGCCTTAGCCCAAGATTCCTTCCTCTCACACATTTCCCTTAAGGGGTCCTCTCTTGCCAATTGGTGTTTCTTCAGGAATGTGACAGACAAGGTCCTCCCTTGGGGTATTTCTCCAATCTGGGTGGCCAAGAAGAATAACAGAAGTTTGGGTAAGTGGCTCTGAGGTTTGCAAGTGCAGCACTTATTCTATGTCCTTGGCTTTGGCCTTTCATGTATGCACTTATTATTTTTCTTATAGTTCTATCTCCCAAACAGCCATGCTACCCTGGGATCCCAGCCCCAAAGCCTTCTGGCTTCTATCACCAACACATGTGGCACTCGCTAACCTACTCTGGTCGCTCCTTCTCCACTGTCGACAGCATCCTGGGCTGCCTGGCTGGCCACGTCATCCATATGATGGCAGACTCCACACTTCGACAGTGGTGGGAGTATCTCCGGGACACTGTGCCCTGTGAGTGACCGGGAGGGAAGAGTGGGATACCTAGCAGAACAGAAGAACCGGGGCTGTGAGAAAGCAGAAAACCTATCTTATCAATGGGGTAAAACGCCTGGATTTCTGGAGAGGACTATTTGGGGCAGGAGGAAGGCATGGAAAACAGTGCAGTCACATTCTGCATAATCTCCACAATTAAGGGGAAGATTAAGGGGCTCTCAGAAGAGAGCAGGTGTGTAGATAACCTTGGCACAAATGGAGGAAGAGAGTGGGATGTAAGAAAAGAGTTGTAAAGAAGCCAGGATTTAGGGATTTACTTTGTGACAATTAGGAGGCACTGATTGTTTTTTAAGTAGAATTTTCAGTTTGTTGGAGAAACTGGATTGAGAAAATAAAGACTAAAACCCAGTTGTAAGACAGCGTTAGAGTGAACATGTGAGGCAAGAGATTCAATTGGTGAAGACACAGAGCATCAACCTAGCCATAGTAATTCAGGCAGGAGGATGTCACTGCATGGTGGCTGGGGTCACATGGGAGCCCCAGGTTCTGTCTCTGGCCCAACCTGGGCAAGCCAGGAGAGGTGGCTTTTGTCTGTGGTCCTAATTGAGAGGCTATGGCAAGAGGACTGAGACTTAGCGAGGTCCTGTCAAAGATGCCCACCCCTTCTCCCTCTCACTATGGAAGGAAGAGAGGGAGGGAGGGAGGGTATCAATGGTAAAAATAAAAAGTAGGAACTGACAGTACATGTTGACAGATGAGTTCCAGAATGAATGGGAATGACCAGTTAACTCTGCTATAGGGCGCGTGCGCTCACCAGACAGACAGAGAGAGACAGAGAGACAGAAAGCGAGAAATCGCCCACCAGGAGGGATGGCCATGCCCCAATCCCTTCTCCTCCATTCTCCTCTCGGGATCTTGGGCACTCACGCACACGTGCCCGGAGTGATTTTTAAGCCACCGGGTCTGGGACGTGAACCGCGGTCGACTACGTGGGAGTCCAGCAACATAGCCATTACGCTAACTGCTGGCCCCCCAGTTAACTCTGGATAACCAAAAACCACAGAAAGAATTCAAAATGGAAATCATCAGAGTGCTTGGGCTGGAAATGGGACAGGAGTGGGAGATGACGGTAGATTTATTTAATATCCCTTCACACTGGTTTAGAGAGTATTAAGAGTGGGAGGGTGCTTTTAGGGAAACATGGATGATGACTTTGAAGACATGGGACTGGAGTTGAAGTGAGATTTCAGTGTTTCTGAGTTCTGTTATTTATTTATTTGGGGATAAATATTAAAAGAGGTGATGGGACAGACTGTAGAGTGACAGTTAGGATGGCTGGATCCCAATCCCACAGGGCTAACTGTATGATTCAAGTCCCAGACCCAATAGCTTGAAAAACACATCGGGTGAGCGTGCATGCATACCCAAAATTCCAAGAGGACAAGGGATTGCTGCATGACCATCTTTCTCTGGGAGGTGTTTTCTCACTTTGCTTCTCTCACTCTGTCTCTTCCTGTGTAAAAAAAAAAAAAAAAAAAAAAAAAAAAAAAAAAAGGCGAGAGTATCATGCAAGCACAATCCAGACCCAGTCCAACCAGCACAGACCCAAACTGGGTCTACACCTTTCATGAACTAGAACCTAAGACAAACTCCACGATGAACTAAGGAATATGCCTTATTAGGAAAATATTATGTAAGTGCCAAGGATGAGCAAAAAGAGAAAGAATGTAAGCACCCAGGCACCTCCCCACCTGTCCTTTCATCATTCCAGAGAGGTGGATCTGTTGTCATGTCCCCCACTCCCCACATTGCTCTTTTTTCTTATATGAGTTTTTAAAAAAGTCGAGTGTACCCTTCTTCCTGCTCAAGGGAGGAAGCACCTAGCTTCCCAGAGGGGTTAGCCTGGGTGTAGCTCCTCCCTCTGGAAGAAAAAACATCCTGTTCCAGAAAATTCCAAACCTAGCTAATTTAATATTTGGCCAACCTGCTCCTGGCAGGTTGGGCTAGATGAGTTTCCCAAGCAAGAGATGTTTCTGAAGGTGGATGGAGCTCATGGCAGAAGTTGGAAAAAATCAGAGCATATGCTGACTGGTATGGTGTCTTTCTGTGAATCTAAAAAAGGTCCCGTGGGACCAGCAGTTAGCATAATGGCTATGTTGCTGAACTCCCATGTAGCTGACCGCGTTTCGAGTCTCGGACCCGGTGGCTTAAACTCATGCTGGGTGCGTGTGCATGCGTGCCCAAGATCCCAAGAGGAGAATTGAGAAGGGATTGTGGCATGGCCACCCCCGGGGGGGGGGGGGTGATTTCTCGCCTTCTATCCCTCTGTCTCTCTCTGTCTTTCTGGTGAGTGCATGCACCGGATAGCAAAAAAACTTCTCCAAAATAAATAAATAAATAAATAAATAAAAAAGGTCCCGGCAGTTAGCATAATGGCTGTGTCGCTGAACTCCCATGTAGTCAACTGCAGTTCAAGTCCTGGACCTAGTGGCTTAAACTCACCCCGGGTGCATGTGCGTATATGCCCAAGATCCTGAGAGGAGAATGGAGAAGGGATTATGGCGTGGCCATCCCCCTTGGGGGGTGATTTCTCTCTTTCTGTCTCTCCGTCTCTCTCTTTCTGGCAAGCACACGTGCCCTGTAGCATAAATAAATAAATAACTCTCAAAAAAAAAAGGTCCCCTTCTGGGTCCTTGCAGTCCTGGGTCATGCAGTGGGGCAAGTGTTGAGGGACTTTGTGGAAAGGAAGTTATCTTTTCGAGCACATGCATCTAGCTATGTTTGCACACAGCTGAGCAAACAGACTGGGCCTGGGTGACCCTGACCTCCCAAGTTGGCACCTCTGGACAACGCTGAGTCTCAAGCTTGGAGCAAGTCTTTAGGTGTGGCTGAAGGAAGTCAATGGACGAATCCAAGTTGGAGTGCTGAGACAGAGGGAAACAGCAGAGAGGGTTTTTTAACACACCACTAACAAAGGAGAGGGTTTCTAAAGGAAAATCAATGAGACAAAATGCACAGGGGACTTTTATTTGTAGAAGAAAGTGGTACACAGACCTAAACTAATCACTCATTCCTCCTCTCTCACCCTCCCAACAGCCCTGAAGCTGGTGGATCTACATGTCACATATCAGACGGGGCCCCTGATGGCTGTGGACACCACCCGGACATAGTGCTGCACTGGAGGGCCCATGGCTGGCCCCTGCGCTCCCTCCGCACACCAGTGGCCTCTCTGCACTCTGTGGCCCGGGAGCTGGAGGGCCTGGCCGGGGGTCCCCACACTGTGGTGGTGCTGGGTCTGGGAGCCCACTTCACCACTTTCCCCCCATCCATCTTTGTGCGACGGCTGGGAGGGATGCGGGCGGCTGTGACCGCCCTGCTGACCCGGGAGCCCCACACCCTCGTGGTCATCAAACTGGCCAACACTGGCTACAAGTCTGTGTATGGCAGCGACTGGCTCACCCTGCAGGTGAACCGGCTCCTCAGAGCTGCCTTTGCTGACCTCCGTGTGGCCTTTGTGGATGCCTGGGAAATGACCTCCAGCCTGGCCCTAACAGACAGCATCCACCCAAAGCTGCTCATTGTCCGCAATAAGATGGACTTACTCCTCTCCTTCATCTGTCCCACCCAAATGCTTGAGGGTCCCAGGACACAATTGTGAAGAAAACCCCAGCGTAACAGGACTTCTGGGATAAGGACAGGTACCATCAATTTCTCTCACCTGTAAGACGGAAATAACTGCCTAACCTGCCCAGCTAATTCTGTTCTTGCCCCAGTCCAACCCCTTTTCCACTCAGAACAAAAGCGATTGATGTATGACAAATGAGGAGCCAGCAGATGGCATAGTAGTTATGTTGCTGGACTCCCACATGGTCAACCACGGTTCAAGTCCCAGACCTGGTGGCTTGAAACTCACGCTGGGCATGCATGTGTGCATGCCCAGAAGGAGAACAGAGGATGGCAGCACCAACCCCTCTACCCCGGATAACTTCTAACTTTTGCTTTCTCTGGCTCTCTCCCTCTCTCCAGCATGCACAAGCGCTCTATGGCAAAAAAAAAAAAAAAAAAAAAAAAGATTATCTGCCAGATTGTCAGGGAAACCTGCTCCACCTAAACCTGAACCTAAACCAAGAAAAACATCTGCTAACAAAGAACCTGGAACAAAGTAACAGAGGTGCTAAAGGGATGAAGGGGAGAAAACAGGGTTTTGATGAAACATGGATAGGTGTGGCCACCTGCTATTTGTGGTTTAAAATAAAAGGTTTTCTTGCCTGACCAAAAAAAAAAAAAAGTGTAACAAATGAGGCCATGTCTTCACAGCCAGCTCAAAGTACTGGGCTGAGCAGCTTGAAAAATCCACCAAAATCTCAAGGAAAAGAAGACAGCATGGCCACTCCTTCTGGGGGTGGGGGTGATTTCTCACTTTCTCTCTCTGCCCTATAGCATAAACTAACATAAATAAGGGGTCCCCAGTCAGTGTAAACACAAACTCCTCCCATGGCCCAGGAGGCCTGGGTGACAGTCTCACTTGACTCCGAAGATTCATTTACTGTTGCTCTTCCCTGGCTCTTTGTAGTCCATCCCCATGGGTCTTCTTGTTGCCCAAGTGGGTCAAGCTGTCCCATCTTAGGGCCTGAGTACCAGCTATTCCTGTGCCTGAAATGTTCTCCCAGATCCTTGGATGGGCAGCTTTCTCCTCATTCAGTTCTCTCATCATTATCTGCTCAGAGGCTTTTCGTGACCACCCTAAGAGCCTACTCTTCCACTCCAGCATTCTTTTCTTTCTTTATCCTGCTTTTTCTTCATATTACTAAACACAACCTGTAATTATTTATTTGAGTGTAACTATTATTGTTGTTGTTTACCTGTCTGTCTCAATAAAATGTGATCCCCGCGACAGACAGGACATTTTGTCAGCTTGCTCCCTGTTGCAGCCCATGACAGAGGGCAGTGCAGGTATTGGATATTTTATTCTTATCTACTGAATGAATGATTCAGTCAGGTGACTAAGGGATCACTTCTGTTCCCTGAACTTTCTCTCATAACCTGCACACCAAGAAATAGACAATTTGTCTGTGTCCCCTACTGCAATTGCTGACTACATTTACATGATTATCACTATACATGCTTCATAACCACACTAGGGCAATATGATTTTCAGTGTGGCTTTATTTTGGAGGATCCTCACAAGAACATTCTCCCATTTTACTGAGGTCTGGGAGGATGCGTGTGTAGAGTCAGTCCTTGGTCCTGCTTGGGTTGCAGAGTCCCCGAGAGTGACATTGGTGATGGCAATGGCAAGAGAACTGTCCTTACGGGAAAACCAGCATCCTGGGAGGGCATGAAACCACCGCCCTTGCTCTTACTCTGGCTGACCCTGTCCCCTCCTCCTACACCCTTCTTGGCTCATGCAGGCGGAGTGGGTTGTTTCCCGCTGCAGACTGCTGCTGGTTGTTCCCCTATTCTTTCTCTCTAGCTATGAGGTTTCCCTGATCACTCGAAAGGGGGCTCCATGACCAGGCACAACCACATCAGCAGTGCCTAGAACCCTCTTCCGGCTCCGTTCCTGGGCCACTGGGTCTTCGCTCAGAGCCTGCCAGGAGTCCTCATCCCCATCTCGCTCAAACACATCGCCCGCCACCACCACGGTGCCCAGGGCAGTGCCCGCCACCACCACGCTCACGTCCCGCTGACCTCCGTGACCCGGCGTGGCCCACACTTCGAGCCCGAGACCCAGTGACAGGGGCTGCTCCTCACTCAGCCCATGGGGCAGGTAGCGGCCCCCGGGGAGGCAGAAGTCATGCGAGACCAGCAGAGCTGCTCCTGGGAACAGCCCCAGGTTCCCGATATGATCCGAGTGCCCGTGGGTCCCCACCACCAGAGTCACGTCTTCTGGGGTTATATTCTGTTCCGTCAGGGCCTCCAGCAGCGCCTCTCGCGCCCAGGGACCTCCGGTATCCACGAGAATGGGGCCACGAGCCACTTCCTCCAGGGCGGTCTTCGCACTGCCATCCCGGAGTCGGGACTCTCGGTGGCTGGAGGACGAGCCCCAAGCCTGGGGCAGGACAAGGGTCACGGAGCCATCGGCGCGCACCGCATCGCCGATCTCCTCTGGCTTCGCGTAGCCCTGCAGCAGAACCACGACCGAGTAGGGGTCACCGGGAATCAGCAGCGGGGGCGCCCCACTCAGCAGCTCGGTCTGCACTAGGCTGCTCATGGCCGGGCAGGCTGGGGAGACAGGAAGTGGCGCTGCGGACACATGCCCAGGCCTGCCGCTACCCCCGCAGGGCCCTCCGGGTCTCGGTGCTTTCCTATCTCACTCCGAAGTGGTATCGCCCTGAGCCCCTGCCAAGATGGTATCTCCCAACCCGTGTACGCGGCCCCGCCCCGGCGTCGTCCGCGCGGCCCCGCCAGCCTCGGGTACGTTCTTACCCGTCCGCCTCCAAAGGATAGCCTTTTTCCTTCTCTCATCCTAAGCCTGGCCGTTTACTCTAAACGACTTTGGGCGCCTCTCCTAGATCCTTCCTCATTCGAGGAAAGAACAGAATCAGAAAAGAGCGCGGGAGTTTGTCCTTTGCGACTTTCCGTAAGCTCAACTATGGCGGCTCCACGCAAGCCCTGACTCCTGCCGGCTCCTCGGTAGACGCCGCGCAGACCTAGTCGGCGACTGAGTCCGCCCCGCCACCCCCTTTCGGCAGCACAATTACGAAGCACCGCTAGCTTCTAACAGGACAACGGCCAAGTCCCCTCTCTAGACGCTGCCTCATGGCCATAATTAATATGCACTTGTTTGAAGTTCTGGGCCCAGCGGATGCTTTAAAAAACAAAAAAAAAAGTTTAATGGATATAGAAAATCTGGCACCTATGAAATTCTATGGTGGGCCCTCGATGAAATTAATCTGAAGTATACCAAGTACCTGCCTCACCTCACTTGCCAGCATCGCCTTGCCCCCGCGCGGTGTCCAATTCTTGTTCAGTTTGTTGGCGTATAGCCTGGAAACAGGCAGAGTATATAGGTGGTGGAGAATGTCCATTCTGGCAACTTAATTTTGAGGGTGCAAAAACACCACCTCCTTCCCCCAGCGCCACCACTATGGGGATTAGGGAGTGGGAACAATGACTCTCTCAAGGTCCACAGATCAGTGCCACTGGTGGCCTCTGGGTGGGGCTAGAGAGCAGTAGAGATACTTATAAAGGGACACTTTTGCCAATTACAGGGCTGGGTGGCAGTCAGAAGGCTCCTCTGTGGGGACAGGACTTCCACCTGCTACACCCACCTTTCTCCCCATATCCATGCCATGCTGCATCACCAGGATCCTGCCTGAGATCAGATGGGAGAGGACAGCTACAAGCTTTGGGGTGGGGTCACACACATACACCCACACCCTTAAAGCTGTGGGGCAAGGAGAGCTCAGACTTGAGAGGGTTCTTCATGAACCCTTCCCCTCTTGGGCACTCAAAGACACGGGTCAAAGATCCTCTGGGTCGTGGTTGGGGTATCCTGGTGTCTTGGGCATTTCTTTCTCCTCTTCCTCCTCTTCTGTTTTCTCTTGCCCATCTGTGATCTTCTCCTTCCCAGTCCAGGTTTCCTGCAGACATCCTAGGTTCAATGAGATAGAAAACAATTTAAATATTTGTCCTAGAGATAGGGGAGGTTGTGGCCTGACAGGAGAGGAGCCTGACCCCTACACTTACCAGTTTCAGCAGCTGGAAGCACATGTCCTTCACAGAGAAAATGCTGTAGGGGCTGTTCCTGATGGTGAAAGTACCAGTCTCCCACGACATCTTCAAACTCCTCCAGCATCGTCTCACACTGGTCAGATGGAAGGGCCAGAAGAGTATGTGCTCAGCTAGGCTTTGGAAACCCTCCTCTCTGCTTCCTATCCCTATCTCCCCTACTCTACTTGACTGATCTCGGAGAGGCAGGTAGCCAAGGGGTTAAGCTTGGCTTACTAGATACCTGGTTCTCATTCATTCAACAAACATTTATTAGCCCCTACTCTGCCAAGTAAGTTATTCAACTGAGCCTCAGCTCCTTGCCTATAAAATGGGAAATAGTAACAGTATCTACCACATCAAGTTGGGAGGGAAAATGAGGCAGCAGCTATAAAGTATGAGGCCCAAAATCTGGGATATAATAGGTACTCAGTAAGTGGTGGTAGATATTAGTAGTCTCTGTTGTTGCTTCTTGATATGCTCCTGGGCCCACTTTAATAATGGCAGTCCTCGGGACCAGCAGTTAGGGTAATGGCTATGTTGCTGGACTCCCATGTAGTCAACCATAGTTTGAGTCCCAGACCGGGTGGCTTAAACTCATGCCGTGCAAGTGCGTGTGCGTGCCCAAGGTCCTGAAAGAATGGAGAAGGGATTGCAATGTGGCCATCTCCCCGGGGGGGTGATTTCTCACTTTCTGTTTTGGGTGAAGGTAGCCCCACCCAAGAAAAAAAAAAAAAAAAAAAAAAAAAAAAAAAACCCTCTAAAAAAATAGTAATAATAATGGTAGTCCTCACTCTGTGCCCTTCTCCCTACTCAGAGACAGACATCCCCTAATGCAGCTCCCCTTTCAAGTTCCATTCTCACTTTCCTGGACAGTGGTTAACATCCTACCTGCTTCTTGAGAAATGTGACCTCCACGCTGGGCTCGTCCCATAGCTCCAAAGGGATCCCCAGATCCACCTTCACCCCCTTCTGCACTAGGCCTTTCAGCGTCGCCATGGTCTGACTCTGACCCTGAGAGATGGAGAATTGGGGATTAGCCAGCTCACCACCCCACCTCTTCCTTCCCCTTTCTGCCATATCATTTTTGTCAACTACTGGAGATTCAGGGTGTATTCCATGAGGAAAAGATGAGAGAGGGACAATTCAATGCTGGGGGAAGGTGATAGAGATCTTAAGGACCTCAGGTAATAGAGTTTTTGTTTTGTTTTCTCTGAGAAGTGGGACCCTTCCCTGGGGAAGGTCTGACCTTGGCATATCTCAGGGAGCCCTTGCGCTCAGCATGAACACTGTAGTCCAGGATCCGCTCACATAAATTCTCCAAGGCCTCTTCCAGCCTTGTCTCTCTGTGGGAAAGGGGGAAACAAAAACACCCTGTACACTATAGGAACTTCTCAGGCTCCGTGAGGCATTGGAAGGTCGAGGAGCATGAGGAAGGACTCACGAAACACTGTAAGGCACTTGTCTCCTCCTCTTGCCTGTGTCCAGCACCTGCCCCAGCTCCAGCACCTCTCGAGATCGGCCAGTGCGCCTCAGCTCCTCCTGTAGCTCCATGCTCAGCAGTTTACACACTGGTAGGGAAGGTAAGTGTCCAAGAAGGATGTGTAAGATAAGCAAACTTTCCAGTGTCTTGTTCTGCAGATGACCAGAGGCAGAGAGCATTTAAGTGCAGACGCTGGAGCCAGACTGGGTTGGAATCCTAGCTCAGCCACAGGGTAGATATGTGACAGTCTTGCTGAACTTGTTTCTTCATCTCTAAAATGGGGATAATAATAGGATGTCCCTCATAGGGGTGGTGAAGATTAAATGAATCAACAATGTAAAACTTGGTGTGTCATAATGAGCACTGTATAAGTGGTTGCTGTTATTCCGCAGTCATTAAGCAATCTTTGTATGACACTATATAGAGCAGTAAGACCCGTCATCTCTATCCATGGGACACTGCCAATGTAGTTGGGGACTGATAAACAGATGATGACAATATGGTGTGCTAACCCCTCTATTATAGGGTCCAAGAGATATAATCTCATTAGAAAATGAAAAATACACTTCCTACTAGCCTTCAGTTTCCTTAAGGGTGAGCACTACTGTCTTTCCAGCACCTTCCAGGTGACCTGGCATGCGTTAGGTCCCAAGAAAGGGAATGGCCCATATAGAAGTGACAAAAAGAAAAAAGAAAGAAAAAACACAGACACAAGAAATAAAAGTACCTAAAATGGGCCTGACACTTAGCTAGAATCTGGGAATTAGCCCCTTTCTTCCAGGGCCTTGCAACATGGCTGGAGATGACAGATAAGGAAGGCTTCTGAAGGAGAGGGTGTTTAACCCCAGGTCTTGAAGATTGGAGGAGTTTATCAAATACAGAAGGGAGAGGGTCATTCCAGACAAAGGGGAAAATAGCAAAGGCACAGAGGTGAGAGGACAAGACATGCTCAGTGACCATTGAGAAGTTCAGAGTAGCTAAAACGTGGGCACTTTTGGGAAGGGGGTGGGAATATGTAAATGTAAGGAAGTTTGGGACCAAGTAACAGGGACTTTGGTGCTCTGCTCAAAAAAGAATTGGTTGCATTCCTATCACAGTAGGAAGCTATAGAGATGTTAAAGCAAGGCCTGACTTGACTAGGGCTGTTTAGAAAGACTGACAGATGGGAGAGAATAGGGACACAAGTAAAAGGAGACATAAGGAACACTGATACTGAAATGCAGTCGGGGTGAGGTAGAGAAAAAAAATCCCAGGAAGAAATAAAGTTGGAAGGCCATCAACAAGGGAACCAGCAGTCTCTGACCCAGCTCTCAAGTGGCCCCTTCCATCGGGCTTCACATTGATGCAGTCAGGGAAGATGCTGTTTGCTGTAAAATCCACATTGTACACTCCCTGCAAAATCCCACACTGATGGGGAACCTCTCCTACTTGTGTAGTCTCTGCCTCTTGTTTATGAGCTTCAAGGGCTGAATTACTCACTCTCAAACCTCCTCGGGGATGTGTGGGGCCTGTAATTTGGGAGCGTCTCTGCCGAGTAGAGCAGAGGATATCCACAAGGTATGAGCCTTACGCCCCCATCTGCTTTGCTCTACAACTTTAGGTCTGGTGACTTGGCGAAACACACACTGAAGATGCTCGATAGAGTCGGAGGTCCAGGGCAGACCGTCCCCGAACTGCAATTCCCACAACCCATTAGGGTGCAAGCCAACCCAAAAGAAAAAAAAAAAAGCGGCTTCTCTCTCGGTGTCGCATGGGAATTCTAAGTGCCAGAATTTTAGGGTGGCACTGTGTGTTCCCTCCCTTGACCCCACGTGAATTCCGCCTAACTCCACGAAAAATTTCCTTGGGTCTTCAAGAAGTCGAGTCGCCCACCCATCACAGTCCCTTTGCTGCTGCACAGACGAAGAAGGCGGGGCAAGGCAATGCAAGCAGGGGCTGCTCCTTTTAGATACCTTCACATTTGCTGGGCAAGCGTTCTGTGTCATCGTCCTCCTCCTTTGCCGTCCCAGCCCGAGCTCCGTAGACCGCCAAAATGAAAAGTAATATTCCCAACCGCACAGGTCCCATGATAAAGTGCCGTCCACCAACCACCACTTGCCCTCTAACCAACTTCGAAAAGGCAGCGGGCCCTTTAAATTCAGAGGTCGTCGGCGGCAACATTAAATCCTGTCTGGCACAGTCTGCGCGTGCGCAGAGTGGGCCCATTAGGGGGCGGTGCTTCATTGCTCTTGGTTTCCCCGCCTCTGTTTTGTGGCGCCTCCTAAAGGTCCTGGCCGCAGCCTAGTGAAGGAATAAATTTAAATAATGAAAATAGGAGGGCGTAATAATTGCATGAAAATATAGTAACAAATTTTTAAAAATATTTTTTAAGATTGTGAGTTTAGAGGACTTCTTCTGGCTCTCATAAAGCTTAGGGACTCGTTCTCTGTCTCTGCCAGGACCTGCACCCGGGAGGGGGCGGGGCGAAGATGGCGCCGAGCGCCGGGTGAGCGGCGCTTTGGCGGCGGTGAGAGACTTTTCCTGCCCCCGGCGCTCGGCTAGCTGGGGTGGGTCTGAGTGGTACTTGGGAGGAGACCCTTTGAAGGGCCGGTGTGAGGACTGGGAAGAGGACGGTTGGTTGTGTGTCCGTGTTCGTGGGGACTTGGTGTGTGTGTCTGCCATGGAGGGATGTTGGAGGAGATGAGGTGGGCGATCTGAGCCTCCTTTCGCACTGCCTGGGAATCTTCGACCTTCTGTGCTGGAGAAACTACCGCACAGATATAGCTCAAGTTAACCCTCTGGGAAGCCTTCCTGCCGCCTCCACTGATATGAGGAGTGCCTGAGACTGTACCAAGTCTTATTAGCCTTTACTGGTAGAGGGTACAGTAAGGTATTGAAGGATTAGTAAGAGTTCGCCCGGGAACTGGGACACAACCGCTCTGGTATATCCGGAGCCAAGCTTAGACTGTGTGTTGAATAATTGTGTTTCCAAAAGATAATACTTAGAAAAATGGGCAAGGAGACCTGGGATGGTTTGAAAAAGAAAAAATCTCCCCCCAGTCTGCCCCCATCCTGCCTTCACACTCAGTCCTGAACCCTGTTGATGTTAATCTTAATGCCCAGCTCCAAATCTGCCACTTTCCTTTTGACCCCAGTGTAGAAACCAAGCTTGGGCCTCTGTCTTACTCATCTTGATAATAGTGGGATCAAATATTATTGAGCACCTACATCCATAAGCCTTGCAATCCATTCTTTTATTCAGCAGATATTTGTGTCTCAGGTACCAGTCTGAGCTCCTGGAATAATAATACATCAGTGAACAGAACCAAGATCCCTGTGGTGGGTGGTGGGAATGATAAGTAATAATGAATTAGAAGATGTTAAATGTTATGGGAAAGCAAAGACAGAGCAGAATGAGGGCAAAGTACAGAATTAAATAGGGTCTTCAGGGTAGCAAACTTCTGGTAGGAGATTTCCAGGCAGAGAGAAAGGAACAGTTTTATAAAGGAAGAGCATGCCAAAGAAGGAAGGAAGAAGGTCAGAGTTGCAATGGGGAAAAGCAATCATGAAGGACTTTGTAGGCCATCATAAGAATTTTATGGCAAATGGGGAGCCATTCCAGGATGGGGCAGTCTGTTTTACATTTTGACAGAATCACTTGAGCTGCTGTGTTAGGAATAGGTGTAGGGAGGCAAGCATGGAAGCAGCGAAGTTTTGTCAGGAAGCTGTTCGAGTAAAGGGCAATGGATGATGGTGACCTAAACCAAGTAGTGGGAATGGAGGAATCAGGTTGGATAACCTAATGGATTTGGTGTGAGGGCTCAGGATGGATAGCATTGCTGTGAACATAAAGAAAGCTGGAGCAGGTGGGTAGGGGGAGATCAAGAATTCTGTTTCAGGGACCAGCAGTTAGCGTAATGGCTATGTCGCTGGACTCTCGTGTAGTCGACTGCGGTTCGCGTCCCGGACCTGGTGGCTTAAAACTCAAGCCAGGCATGTGTGCATGCATGCCCAAGATCCTGAGAGGAGAATGGAGGAGAAGGGATTGCAGTGTGGCCATCCCCCCTGGGGGGTGATTTCTCGCTTTCTGTCTTTCTGTCTCTGTCTGTCTGGCGAGCGCACGCGCCCTATCGCAAAAACCTCTCCGAAAAAAAAAAATTCTGTTTCAGTGGGATTTAAAGTAGACAGTTTGGTACACAGTCAAGTTAGAATGGTCTTGGGGCTGGAGACATAGATCTGACCACTATCATGCTGTAAACAACATTTAACTTTGTGGTTAAGGTCACCAAGAACACAAGAATAGCTAGGGGAGATGACCAAGGACTGAGCCCAGAACACTCTAACATTAGGCAGATGGGGAGAAGAGGAAGAACCAGTAAAGGAAACAGATGGAGCAACTGGTAAGATAGGAGGAAAATCAAGAGAAGGTGGTGTGACAGTCAAGTAAAGGTGTTTTCAGAAGGGAGTGGTCAGCGGGACACTGCTGAGGGGTCAAGTAAGATGAGAGTAGGCCTTGGATTTAGCAAGGTAGATTGTTGTGACCTTGATCATTGGTTTCAAAGACTTAGGACAGTTGGAAACCTGATTGGGATAAGTCTAAGAGAAAAAGATTTAAGAGATCTAAGTTAATACCACTTTTTCAGGGGCTAGCAGGTAGCTTGGTGGTTAATGCTTTGGACTTCCTCATGGCTGACTACAGTTTGAACCCCAGGCCTGGGAACTTGGAAATCACGCTGGGCCTGTGTGCGTATGTGCCCAAAATCCCAAGAAGAGAATGAAGGAGAAGGGATTGCAGTGTGGTCACTCCCCTGGGGAATGATTTCTCACTTTCTCACTATCTCTCTGGCAAGTACATGTACTCTATTACAAAAACCTTAAAAACAAAAAAACTCAAGCTTTGTTACAAGGAAGAGCAGAATGTTGGAATATACCTCTTAGTGAAATGAACCAAGAAAATATTTTTTAAATAATTTTAATTGTTGCAAAATACACAAAACACAAAATTTATCACCTAACCATTTTTAAGTATGCAGTTGTAGTCAACACACCACATTGTTGTGTAACCATTACCATCATCCATCTCCAGAACTCTTTTTTTCATTCTGTGAAACTGTAACTCCGTACTTACTAAAAAATAACTTCCATTCACACCTCCCCCAATCCCTGGCAGCCCCCCCCCACTTCCTGTCTATATGATTTTAAGAAATTCAAATAATTGGAATCACAGTATTGATCCTTTTGTGATCGACTTACTTCACTTAGCATAGTCCTCAAGCTTCACCATGTTGTAGCATGTGTTAGATTTTTTCTGTTTAGGGCCCAATAGTATTCCCTGCTATGTATATCTTGTCTCTTTTTTTAAGAATTATTTATTATTTTTTTTTAGAGATTTTTGCTATAGGGTACATGTGCTTGCCGGAGAGAGACACGGAAAGCAAGCAATCACCCCCGCCTGGGGGGATGGCCATGCCACAATCTCTTCTCCTTCATTCAACTCTGGGGTTTGGGGCATACATGTACATACTCCCAGCGTGAGTTTCAAGCCACCAGGTCCAGGACTCAAACCATGGTTGGCCATGTGGAAGTTCAGCAATGTAACCACTATGTCATGTGCTGGTCCCAGGAATTATTTAATATTATTTATCATCATTATTATTATTTTTAAGTTTGCTACAGGTTATACATGCTTACCAGAGAGAGACAGAGGGAGAGAGGAGAAAAGAATGGAAAAGCAAGCCACCAGGTCCTGGACTCAAACCACGGTCAGCCATGTGGGAGTCCAGTGCTTTAACTCATACCACTTGGTGGCCCCTTGTTTTTTTTGTTTGTTTTTGTTTTTGTTTTTAATAATATGGGAGAAATAACTAGTTTGTAGACTGATGGGAATGATCTGGTAGATTGAGAAATTAATGATGCAAGGAGATGGGAGAAATGCTGGTGCGATGTTTGAGTTGGCAGAAGCATAACAGTTCCTCAGTAGTAGGCAGGTGCCAGTGCCAAGGTGGGCCGATGTAGTGGATGTCTGGGAGATCCTCTTTTCTGCTAGCCGAAAGTAAGGGAGAAGAAAAGATGGGAAAATAGGACAGTGGGAGATTAAGTGCACTAGAGGATACTATAATTGCCAGGCAACCTTAAGGGCCCCTTTGAAGTTTGTGGCCAGGAATTTAAATTGAGAACTAGTCAGCCTGGTTGTATGTTTTCGTCATCATAGTCAATTGTCCAGTTCCACAGGGCCAGAGTAGGAGAGTTGTATTTAACTGACATTGTATTTTTGTCAAGCATGAATAATGATGGGGCAAGAAACCCTAAGATGCATAACACCCTTAGGAAGGAAGTCATTATCCATGTTTACAGAGACAAAAAAAAAAAACAAGCTGGGAGAATTTAAGTAAGTTGCCTAAGTAACACAGGTAGGGAGTAGTGAGCTGGGAATTAAATTCGAATGTGTGCTTTTTTTTTTTTTTTTTTTTTTTTTTTTAAGAGATTTTTGCTATAGAATGCGTGGGCTCACCACAGAAACAGAGACAAAAAGCAGGAAATCACTCCCAGGGGGAATGGCCACACTGATGGCCACACTGCCATCCCTTTTCCTTCATTCTCTCAGGATTTTGGGCCTGCACTGACACGCACCTGGCATGAGTTTTAAGCTGCCTGGTCCAGGATTCAAACTGTGGTTGACTATACGGGAGTCCAGCGATGTAACCATCATGCGTCTGCTGGTCCCTATGTGCTCCTTATACCTTACTTGTACAACACCTGGAGTAGAATAAGACCTCAATAAATTGTGGTGAATTTGATTGGATTCTTCTCTCTTCTCTATTTTTCTTTTTAAATTTTTTCCCTTTATTCATAAGAGAGCATGTGCATGCACACATGACAGAAAAAGATAAGCATCATTACAGGGTCTGGTCATGCTGGGATCCCCTTCCTTCAGTCCTCTGGCCTGATGGAGCCTAGACACTCCTGCACATTACTAGAGTGTTGTAGACTGATTGGGCCAGGGATTCAAACCACAGTGACCATGTGGGATCTGGCTTCTCTTGAACAGTGGATTATAGTACCATAGAGCTAGCACCCTTATCTTTTGTTATAGCTTGGGTGGACAGACAACACCCCCTGAACTACTTCCCTCCTGTCTCCATTGCCCTCCCTTCCTTATAGCCTAGCAACTAGGCTGGGCCTTCTCTTTGGGTTACATGTTTCTTTTTATCTCTTTTGCCTGCCCCACACCCTTGCTAAGGTCTCCATCTTGGAGGGGAGGAGGGGCTCCAGAATGGCTGAAGAGAAGAAGCTGAAGCTCAGCAATACTGTGCTGCCCTCGGAGTCGATGAAGGTGGTGGCCGAGTCAATGGGCATTGCCCAGATTCAGGAGGAGACCTGCCAGCTGCTGACAGATGAGGTCAGCTATCGCATCAAGGAGATCGCACAGGTGACCAGCCCTTGTGTATGATGTTGCCTGGCACCCTCTCTTCCTCAAGGTCTTAAGCTGACGTCTGCCTCGCCCGTCCCCACAGGATGCCTTGAAGTTCATGCACATGGGGAAACGGCAGAAGCTCACCACCAGTGACATTGACTATGCGCTGAAGCTAAAGAATGTTGAGGTGACTGGGACAGATGGGAAGGCTGAGATGAGAGCAGGGTGATCAGAGACACTCCTCCCAGATGCTGCACCTGCCTCCGGCCAGACCTCTGTGAACTCCCTTCTCACTCATGTTTCTCTCTCTCCTGATATAGCCACTCTATGGGTTCCATGCTCAGGAATTCATTCCTTTCCGTTTTGCCTCTGGTGGGGGCCGAGAGCTTTACTTCTATGAGGAGAAGGAGGTTGATCTGAGTGACATCATCAATACCCCTCTGCCTCGGGTGCCCCTGGATGTCTGCCTCAAAGGTTGGGGGAGGGGAAAGCAGGGTGGCGGGGAGGAGGGGAAGTGAAGTAACGTGTGTGGGGAGAGTGAGGAACCTTACATGAGAACCTCAGAATGAGATGCTGAGTGAGTGAAAAAAAAAATGAAAACACACCTCCCTCGATGGGGACCGTCTCCCTAGTGTCCATGTCTGGCAGTTCAACTTGACACCTTCTTCCCTTGCAGCTCATTGGCTAAGCATAGAAGGCTGCCAGCCCGCTATACCAGAGAATCCACCCCCAGGTAACCTCCACACCTAGAGCCCACCTCTGTCCCTTCCTCTTCCCCTTACATCTCCCCACTGTGACTGCCTTCCTACCAGCTCCCAAAGAGCAGCAGAAGGCCGAGGCCACAGAGCCCCTGAAGTCAGCCAAGCCAGGCCAGGAAGAAGATGGACCCCTGAAAGGCAAAGGGCAAGGGGCCGCCCCAGCCGACAGCAAAGGTCAGTACTGCTAGGCCAGCAGGCCCCTGCCAGCTCAAGCCCCAGCCTGTCATTTGTGAAATGGGTGCAGTCAGGGCCAGAAAGCCCCAGGAGAGATCAAGAAACCTAAGAGGATGCCAGTTTCCTAGGTCAGGAGAAGTGGAGGGCTAAGGTTGGTCTGGTACTGAGGCTTCTAGAGCTTTCTTTTTCACACCCATCTGCCCAATTCACACAGGAAAGGAGAAGAAGGCACCACCTTTGCTGGAGGGGGCCCCCTTGCGACTGAAGCCCCGAAGCATCCACGAGTTGTCTGTGGAGCAGCAGCTGTACTACAAGGAGATCACTGAGGCCTGTGTGGGGTCATGTGAGGCCAAGAGAGCGGTGAGGGGCCCACAGCCTGCCTTTACTCCAACACTCCTCCTTTTGGTGGCCAGCAAGGTCCTTCCCAGGATAACTCTCGCCGCCTCATTCACTTCCCTTTTTCCCACAGGAAGCTCTGCAGAGCATCGCTACAGACCCAGGGCTCTATCAGATGCTGCCACGATTCAGTACTTTCATCTCAGAGGGGGTGAGGGGATGAGGTTCCAGGGTGAGGAGGCAGTAGGGGAACTCATTGGAGAGTCTATGCCTCATCACTTCTCCTTCCCATAGGTCCGTGTGAATGTGGTTCAGAACAACCTGGCCCTGCTTATCTACTTGATGCGCATGGTGAAGGCACTGATGGACAACCCTACATTGTATCTAGAAAAATATGTGAGTGGTCCTGCTCACCCCTCCCCTTCCCAGGGTCTGGGGATCCTGCTGCCACCAATAGGAAGCTGTTTGTCACAGTCACCTGACCCACCACTTCCGTAGGTGCATGAGCTGATTCCAGCTGTGATGACCTGCATCGTGAGCAGACAGCTGTGTCTGCGACCTGATGTGGACAATCACTGGGCGCTCCGGGACTTTGCCGCTCGCCTGGTGGCCCAGATCTGCAAGCATTTCAGCACAACCACGAACAATATCCAGTCCCGGATCACTAAGACCTTCACCAAGGTGAACCAGGAGACTATGGGCATCAGCATTTCACATCACTGCCCTGGGGCTGTGACCAGCATAATGAGAACTTCACCCAAAGCAGTGGTGGGGCAGTTGTGGCTGAAGGAAATGACACTGGAAACGGGGCAGTGGGTGGGGGACTTGGGCCTCACTTATGTTATCCTAATGATCGGTAAGGAATGTGTTTATGAGAGATTTGGGTCCTTAACAGCCTTTTAGACCCCTTCACCTGGGCTTATTTTCCTTCCCCTTACAGAGCTGGGTGGATGAGAAGACTCCCTGGACAACTCGTTATGGCTCCATCGCAGGACTGGCAGAGCTGGGACACGATGTTAGGCCCCCCAGGGAGAGGGAGAGTCCTGAGGGAGGGGAAGCAATCATGAGTTTATAGAGAGCAATGTCCCCTATACACCTGAGAGACCCCTGGTGACTGTGGCCCTGGCTTCTCCCCTTCCACAGGTGATTAAGACTCTTATTCTGCCACGGCTGCAGCAGGAGGGGGAGCGGATCCGTAGTGTCCTGGATGGGCCTGTGTTGAGCAATATCGACCGGATCGGAGCTGACCATGTGCAGAGCCTCCTCCTGGTGACCAGAGTTCCCCTGCCTCCCCCCAGCACAAACACAGACACACTGTTTAGCAAGCATATGGTGTATTTTATTGACTTACTCCCATCTTTACTGCTTACGCACTGCTTAGATGCAGAAACCTCTCAGAACCCAATACTGTTTTGTTTTGTTTTAAAAATTATTTTACTTTATTTTAATTTGACCAGAGAGGGACAGAGTAAGAGAGGGAGAGGGGAAAATGATAAAAGCAAGCCACCAGACCTGGGACTCAAACCACCATCAGCCATGTGGGAGTCCAGCGCCCTTTATCACCACACTACCTGCTGGCCCCCCAATACTGTTCTGTACATGGAAAGACTGAGGCAGAGACAAGTAAGAAACAAGGGGTCTTAACTCCCAGCCTGTGGCTCCTGCTAGACTACATGGGCCCTATGCTTCTACATTACCATATGGCCTATTCTGCACAAGGGCAATGCCCACAGGGACCAGTTACTCCGTAGATGTTACCAGTGTATTTAGCAACTTCACCATTTGTACCAGTTGGTGCCCATGTTTTCTTGAGAAAAACCACAGCATACTTGGACATACCAATAGCCTAGCACAGTTTGTCCTCCAATAACACATACAGAAATGAGTCTTTTTTCACCTTTTCCCTGTCCCTCATCTGAGAGTACCAGCCCTACCTTTAACTGGTTATTCTTTGGCCTCTCTGCAGAAACACTGTGCCCCTGTTCTGGCAAAGCTGCGCCCACCACCTGACAATCAGGATGCCTATCGAGCAGAATTTGGATCCCTTGGGCCCCTCCTCTGCTCCCATGTGGTCAAGGCTCGGGCCCAGGCTGCTCTACAGGCCCAGCAAGTCAACAGGACCACTCTGACCATCACCCAGGTTAGTGACGCAGTGCAGATGTAGGACAGGGCCATGGTGTCCACCGAAATGGGGACTCACACATACTCAGGCCCTGAGATAGCACAGTCGTGGGGAGTCTGGGCTCTGCAGTGAATGATATACCAGCCCCAATGAGAACCACAGAGGAAAAACAAGAAAAGCCCAAGTCTCCCCCTCAGGCCTTTTTTTTTCTTACATGTTGACATTTTCTCCTTGCCTTTTCTTCCTGCAGCCCCGGCCCACCTTGACCCTCTCACAGGCCCCTCAGCCTGGCCCTCGGACCCCTGGCTTGCTGAAGGTCCCCGGCTCCATTGCACTGCCTGTCCAGACACTGGTGTCTGCACGAGCTGCTGCCCCACCTCAGCCTTCCCCTCCTCCAACCAAGTTCATTGTAATGTCATCATCCTCCAGTGCCTCGTCCACCCAGCAGGTGCGTGGAATCTGTGGGATGGTGATGAGCACCCCAGTGGGCCCCTCAGAGCTCTCCAAAGAGCTCAGTCCTCCTAGGGCCCTAAGTCAGGAGACTGAAAGGGCACCTGCCAGGGTTCAGAGCATGGCCTGTTGCAGGCAACGGTCTGCAGGATCCTAGTTCAGTGGGAGAAGCAAATGAATTATCACCCCAGGCCCTTGGAGAGTGGGGAGGGTGCAGGGCCATGGGCACTGCCTTTCCTTTCTCCCCAGGTCCTGTCCCTCAGCACCTCGGCCCCTGGCTCAGGCTCTACCACCACCTCGCCTGTCACCACTACGGTCCCCAGCGTGCAGCCCATCGTCAAGCTTGTCTCCACTGCCACTACCACACCCCCTAGCACTGCTCCCTCTGGGCCTGGCAGTGTCCAGAAGTACATCGTGGTCTCACTACCCCCAACAGGGGAGGGCAAAGGGGGCCCCACCTCCCATCCTTCCCCAGTTCCTCCCACTTCATCCTCTCCCTCCCCCCTGGGGGGAAGTGCCCTCTGTGGGGGCAAGCAGGAGGCTGGGGACAGCCCCCCTCCAGCTCCAGGGACTCCAAAGGCTAATGGCTCCCAGCCCCCTGGGTCTGGCTCCCCTCAGCCTGCTTCATGATCGTGGCACTCATCTGCTGACCTTCTCTCCCAGGATTCCTGCACATGCACCCTAGGTGGCAGGAAACAGGAGGCTGCTTCCCCATTACTTTCTTTTAGATATTGTACAGCCATTCCTGAGAATAAAAAGGTGATTTATAAATTCTGATCTACCTCAGTCTTTCTGTGTCAAATACCATGGAAAAAGTGAGTCTGTCGGGTCTCCTGGTCGCTCAGGACTCTTAACAGCCCAGATCTAGAGCCATGGACCAAAAAGCCAGAAACGAAAATTGTCCTGTTCCAGAGAGATAGACTGCTGCCTTTGCTGCCTCATTTGAGGAACCTCAGATCCGAATGACATAGGCATCGCTGTGGCTTAGGTGTCTCACCCACTTGTGAGGGTTGGCATTGCCACAGGGCCTGAAGGCAAGCCTGAGGAAGCGAACCTGGAGGCCAGAGCATGTGTGCCGAGGAAGTTCGAAGGAGAGGCTTGCAGGCCCCAGCCCCAGAGGAGCTGCTGAGGTGGAGGGCCCATGACCAGGAGGCCCCGGGAGGCCAGGGACATCCATCTGTGAGGAGAGAGGCAGGAGGAGAATAAAAGGGGCAGGACAGCCATGAGGTCAGGAAGCTGACCACACCAGTGGGAACAAGGCAGCAACTGTACTGGAAGGGTCAGGGTACTGCAAATGAAAGTTGCAAAGAGTGTTAGAGCATCAGTAGCACATACCTGGAAAAGGCCTGAGAGTTGAGAGCCTCCTTGTACTCGAGGTAGGTCCCAGTGAAGGGCTCCCTCTGCCAGCTCTGCCTTCTGCTCTGGGCTGCTCAGCTCCTGAGACAGGCTGGAGTTGGGACAGGGAAGGTGCTGGGCTTAGCCACACATTTCTTGGAGCAGGCCAGTCACACTCACACCCTTTTGCCCTAGCCCTATGGTGTTCTTCAGGGGAACCTCCCATGGAACACATGCATTTACCTGACCACCCCTCGTGGCAGGGGAAGGTGCAGCCTGACGTTGAGTGCTTGGCTACCAGGAAAAAAGAAAAGTCAGGCCCAGAAAGGCATGGTCTTTGTTTCTCAAGTGTCACAAAAGCTCAGCACAGGTGTCACCCCCACATACACACATACTAGAGCCTCTAACTAAACGGGATTCTTAGGCTGGTGGTTGTATCTGAAGGACGCAGCAGCAGGTACCATGGCCCTGTCTCCTGGCCCATGTAGCTGAACTAGGCCTTGCCAGCACTCATCCTTACCTCTTCGGGGGCAGATCACATCGTAACTTCAGATACACCTGTAGCCTGGATGAGAGGGTAAAATACCATTGCTCAGGCCATATCTTACTGGCATCTTGCCCTTCCCCACCCGGGGCTTCCACAAAGGAGAAGGGCTGAAATCTACACCAACTCCACTAGCCAAGCATTTTTCTAATTTGCACCTGATGGCACTACCACTACTGCCCCTTCATAGCAAGTCTTGGCAACAGTAATGTCTTTTTTTTATTTGGAGAGGTTTTTGCTATAGGGCGTGTGTGCTTGCCAGAAAGACAGACAGAAAGTGAGAAATCACCCCCCAAGGGGAATGGCCACACTGCAATCCCTTCTCCTTCATTCTCTTCTCAAGATCTTGGGCACACACACACAAGCGCGCCTGGCCTGAGTTTAAGCCACCAGGTCTGGACTCGAACTGCGGTCCACTGCATGGGAGTTCATAGCCACTATGCCAACCGCTGGTCCCGGGGAACAGTAATGTCTTGACTGGGGTTCTAGAGTAGTTCTAGATCACAGGAAATGGTCTTACCGGCCTGAGCCTCGGTCCCACTGTACAGAGGGAAAAAGAAAGGAAGTGGGGAGGGGAGGTCATCAGAGAGTTGGTATCGCATTACAGTGAGCTAAGACCAAAGAGGAATCAGGGTCAGTTTGGTCTCCTTGTATCCACAATGCCTTCCATCCCCCAGTGGACAGACTATGCTAGGCAACCCTGATCCTGACCTCTCCCTGAGGTGGCTGCAGACGGAGGATTCGATGAGACTCAAACTCATCCAGATTCACGGAGCTATGAAATGAGACCTCATCAACCCGAATTCCTGGCCCATAGCCTGGAAAAAGAGAAAGACCTGTTTGCTGACCCATGTTGTGGGAGAGAAGAGCAGGGAGAATGGGGAATCCATCTCTAACTTCTCCCCATGAAATCTTGGGCGGTGACCTGCACCCACTTTTTCCTCACCTCTCAGTTCTGACTTCCCCACACAAAATTCTTCTGTCAAGCCAATACGGATCTCTGTAAAAGGCAAAGAACATGAGCAAAAACTGGCCAACATACCATATTACTACCAATGATATGGTTTGTCCAAAACCCAACCCTGCACCCAGCCTACAGACTTCTCACCAGAGCCACTGGGAAGGAAGCTTTTGAGTCGGATCTCTCCCTGCACGTCCACCTTCAGCAGTGAGCCCTGAGAGTGGCAGGGAAGTTAATGCCCAGAGCCCTGACCTCCCAATATTTCCCAGATGGCCATGTGTGGTCAGCTCAGTTGAGAGTCCAAACTTACATTAGATGCTATCAGTACAGACAATCTCTCAACCACGTCCAGAAAAACTTCATTCTTTTGACCCTAAGGAAGAGAGGGATTTGAGTGGATCGAGGGTGCACACTGTGTGTTTTAAAATGGGCAGGCAGAAAGGACAGAGTGGTTAGAATTAGGCCCCTGGGACAGGGACATGGGATTGAGGGAAAGTACATCCATGGCTAGGGGAGGTTCAAAGATTTGCCAAGATCCCGGACCCTAGGGTCACATAAAAGACATCAGAGAGACTCAGCCCTCCCTCACCTGGTCAGAGCGACTGGTCAGGACAGGACGGCTGGCTGCACTGCTGGGGGCCACTTTGCTCTGTTGTGTCTCAGCCCCAAACTGTAAAGGACCCAGAGCAATCCTCAGGTGTGACATACCCAGCCGACCTTCAATCTCCTTTGTCCTCTTTCCCCTCTACTGACCAAGCCAACACTGCTGAGGTCAAAGAGGCTGAAGGGTTTGCTGACCACCGCTTCTGTCTGGATGAAGTTCCTTAGCATCTCCGTGGATGTAGTCTGTACATAGCCATAGTCCTAGTGGTGAAGAAAGGACAGTCTGGGTGGCAGTAGAGGGTAGGGATGAAAAAATAGTGGATTTAGAATCCCCTGGCTGAAGACCAGCTATGTCTTCAGGGAAAAGGAGAACAAGAGAGGAAAATCTTCGAATCTTACCAGCACTTCATCTAGGATTTCATACACAAGAGCCACGTTTCGGGAGATGGTACCTTCACTGAGGGAACCACAGTAATCGCCCAAGAGAGTGGCTAGCCTAAAGAAACAGGGCAGAGTGTGTATTTCCTTCTCCTCTCTGACCCCCAACCCCAAGAGCCCAACCCATCTCTCACCGAGAGAGCAGTTCCAGGAAGCTGAAGGGAGAAACGTTTTCTGAAGTCGTGGCGACCAAATAGAGGCCACTGTGTCTGATATGAATGAAATGACGGTCATCGTGGTGCTGTGTTAGGAGAAAGCAGTGGCAGGGATGAAGAGCCCAGGATCCCTGCTCTATCCAGATGTCCCTAATAGTCATAGGAGGTGTGACTTTGGGCCACACGTGAAACATCCCTAAGGACCAACCCACTGTGTAAACTGATTAATGAAAGTACCTACCCCAGTTGAGTCCTGCAGGGAGCTGCACCTGTATATTCTTAGTTCTCAGTAAACTTTCGTTATTTTGGAGGAATATACCGCCCAAGTGGACGCTTTCCAGGAAACAGCCCTAGGAAGCAGGAAGTGCCCCCCCGGCCAGCCAGTCCCCCCACCCCCTGCGAATGGTTACCATGACAACAGGGGACTCATCTCCTGGCAGTCCCGTCAGCTTCCGGTAGAAGAGCTCGGCCACGTCCCAGCCGCCACTGTCCCCGCGGACTGGCCGGCGGAAGGACAGTTAAGAATCTGGTAACAGCCTGGCTAGGGCACAGTTGGCGTCCAACCCTTCCACCCCGCCCCGAGGATTAAGGATACAGTCTTTGTAGATGAGCGGGTCCCCCTTGGAGGAGAGTATGAAGAACTGGGAAATCATGGCCGATCTAGACAGCAGACAAGAAGACGGCGAAAGTTGCGCTGCCCCGCCCTGCAGTCCCGGAACAAAAGGACGCTAGTGGGCTGGCGCTTTAAGAGCTTTACTCCTCCGCCAGCACCACCTCCGACCGCGGGAAAACAGGCGCGCGCCCCGCCTAGTGGGAGGCTCCCTCCCGCTTCCCCACTGCCTCCCCGTCACTCAGCCCAAGCTCACCCAGGGATTGGCCTTCCGCCGTGAATGGGCGGGGCAGAGGGCAGTCCTTTCCCATTGGCCTGCACGCAGCGCCGCCGGTCACATGGGGGCGACGTTTCGCGCCAATTTCGGTTAATCGGCCACAGTCCGCCGCGCGAACGGTCTCTGCTCCACCGTGAGGGAGGCTCCCGAGCCCGCCAACTGCTGCCGCGCGGCCCTCGGCGGCGATGACACTTAAGGACTACGCGCTCGAGAAAGGTAAGGGTCTGCAGTCGTGGGAGGGGCGTCCTGCGCGGAAAGCCTTTCGGATAACACCTGTTGGTGTGAGCTGGGTTCTTGAGGGACCGGGATCCGCGGCTTTCGGGTGCGCGAGGCCAGAGGTACGGTCGCGTGGCGGCAGAGCTGAGTCAAATGGTGCCCGGGAAGAGCACGGGGCGCATCTGTGTCGAAGATTTGGTCATCCTGCCCAGGCAAGGTGTGGGGGCTGTGGGAGAGGCGATAGCCTTGGCTGGGGACTCCAGGGATTAGGGTGGCCCTCAGATGAGACCCAGATCTCAGGGGACCCTGTGTGAGCGCTTTCGACCTTTGGAATACGGGCCCGCCTCCCTTCGAGCTTTAGAGCATTCCTAAGTTCCCGCGTCCTCCGGAGACGCGCCGAGGCCCCGGGGGCGGGCTGCCGGGGCCGCTACGCGCGGCGATTGGCCATTTTAGGCCGCCCTACAAGCGGAAGTGGAGACGGGCGGAAGTGGCGCGACACAGTTGGAGGGAGTGCCGTGTGTAAACAGTGTTCTTCCGCGCGGTGGCCTCCGAGAGAGTTGCTGAGGGTGGAGGCGTGCCTGGTATCCGGAGCTGAGCGAGAGGCCGAGAGAGGAGGCAGCGGGGTGGGACCGAGTGGCCCTCGGCGTGCGGGCCAATCGCTTGGCGGGCTCCCGCCTTGGGCGGAGGAATCCCGGGCTGTGAGGCGGCTGGAATCTGGGCCCATGTGCTTCTTTGTTTACTAAGAGCGGAAGCAGTGGCGGGAGCGGGGGTGGGGTGCCCGACTGGCCTTGTGGCGGAGGGCCCGGTGGGGGCAAAGGTTCAGGGGGCCGGGAGAAAAGGAGGACTCATGGGTTGAAGGAAAGTTGAGGACTGTAAGACTGAAGAGTATTGCGGTGTGTCCGGGGCCTTGAAGAAGGGTGCTGGGATTTTCAACTAAGGCAGAGTGTAACTCCCTTGGGGGCGTGGGTATTGGGAAATCGTCCTAACTGCCGGGAACCCCTTGTTCTTCCCCCGGCAAATCTATTTGTGAAAAGAAGCTCTGCCTGTCTTGGGGAAAGTTTTGTAGGTTTACTTAAATGTTTGAATAGTTACTTAGTTCATAAGTCCTGCTTTTTAAGTGAAAGTGGGCTTTTTATATTTCTGTTAGATCTGTTAGAGTGATTTGCAGTAATATATCTGAAATAAAGGTTGTTCTTCACAACTTTGCATTTATACTATAGAGAAGGTTAAGAAGTTCCTAGAAGAGTTTTACCAAGATGAAGAATTTGGGAAGAAGCAGTTCAAGTATGGGAACCAGTTGGTAAGTCTAAGATCCGCTGAAGGGAATGGGGTTGCTTAGGAACTATAAGAGGTAGCCTGGCTTGTTTTAGGCCATACATTTATCTATGACAGGTTTATGCTGGAACCTAGTACTTGGTAAGTGAATGTAATATAACACTCTGCTTAACAATACATAGGCTGTCTTTGAGGGGGCTGATGGAGTATTGCTCTGCCTGGAGTTGCTCTTTCTCCTCCCATGAATTCTTAGTCTGTGCTGTGAGCTCATAGCCATGGGACCTCACATGAGAATGCTGGTGAACAAGGTAAACTTGGCCCTGAAGTGTTGCTGTCTCTTTGTTACCAGGTTCGACTGGCTCATCGGGAACAAGTGGCAGTGTATGTGGACCTGGATGACGTAGCTGAGGATGACCCTGAGCTGGTGGACTCGATTTGTGAAAATGCCAAGCGCTACGCAAAGCTCTTTGCTGATGCTGTTCAGGAGCTGCTGCCTAAGTACAAAGAAAGGGAGGTTAGTGTCTAGAGAACAGTGCAGGGCAAGGAACTTGGGCTTTTGTTGAGAAGCTTTGTAAACACTGATGTTTTTTGAGCTGGCAGGAAAGGATCAGTGACTTCTGCCTAACACCGTCTTGTTCTCCTTCACTATCCTGCCACTCATTTATTCCAGGTCTTCGTTCTCTCGTAGGTAGTGAATAAAGATGTTCTGGATGTTTACATTGAACATCGACTAATGATGGAACAGCGGAGCCGGGACCCTGGAGCTGCCCGAAGCCCCCAGAACCAGTATCCTCCTGAGCTCATGCGCAGATTGTGAGTGGTCTCTGGGGAAGAGTTCTAGAGTTCTCTAGGACCTTGCTAATTACTCTGTCTCTCCTTTAGTGAGCTGTATTTTCAAGGTCCAAGTAGTAGCAAGCCTCGTGTGATCCGAGAAGTACGGGCTGACTCTGTGGGGAAACTGGTAACTGTGCGTGGAATTGTCACTCGTGTCTCTGAAGTCAAACCCAGGATGGTGGTGGCCACTTACACTTGTGACCAGTGTGGGGCAGAGACTTATCAGCCGGTATGTGTGGAACAAGAAACAGAAAAATATTTAACTCTGTTAGTTAAATTTGTTAAAAGTTTATTTTCTGACAGTTGTCTGTCATTTTCTTTGCTATGGTAAATGGTGCCTGCGTGTCCCTCTTTCATTCTTTTCTCTGGTGTGTAGTAGTCTTTTCATCTGTTTTGTTTTGTCGGTGTGTTTGTCATTAGCAACCCAGAATAGTCCAAAGTATTCTTGACACTTTCGGTATATCTGCTATGAAGAGGAAGTACAATTGAAATGACTTTAAGGGTTCTCTTTCTCCTGATTTTTCTGTGTTGACTTTTTCACATCTTAGATCCAGTCTCCCACTTTCATGCCTCTAATCATGTGCCCAAGCCAGGAGTGCCAAACGAACCGGTCAGGGGGGCGGCTCTATTTACAGACACGTGGCTCCAAGTTCATCAAATTTCAGGAGATGAAGATGCAAGAACATGTGAGTATGGGGTCTGTGACCCAGGGTAAATAAAGCACAGAGTCCATTTGAGTACTACAGTCACTCATGGAGTGGCAGGGAGTCATCTAGAGCAGGAGGGAGTGTTTGTTAACTGCAATTTTCTGACAGAATTGGGAAGCATTCCTCTTTCGGCTTGTCTCGGGCTGGGAAGGCTGAGAAAAGTCTTCGAGTGAGCTGCTGAAGGAAGGAAGGGTAGGCCTCGCCCTTGTCCATTACATTCTTTTCCCTGATTTATGTATGTTTCTTTCCTCTAGAGTGACCAAGTGCCTGTGGGAAATATTCCTCGCAGCATCACAGTGCTTGTGGAAGGAGAGAATACAAGGATTGCCCAGCCTGGAGACCATGTCAGTGTCACTGGTATCTTCTTGCCAGTTTTGCGCACTGGGTTCCGACAGGTGGTGCAGGTAAGAAAGGGAGTTCAAAATGAGGAAATCCCCTTAACCTATCTCTGTTCTCACTGAGAAAATTAGCGGCAGCAAAACACCAGACAAAGTAATAGGACAGGGGGTCTTTTGAGAAGTTATTAGGGAATCAGATAAAGAACAAATTAAAGGGATTTTATTCACATCTCAGCATTTTCCTGCCCAAGGGTTTACTCTCGGAGACTTACTTAGAAGCCCATCGGATTGTGAAGATGAATAAGAGTGAGGATGACGAGTCTGGGGCTGGAGAGCTGAGCAGGGAGGAGCTGAGGCAGATTGCAGGTGAGAGGCCTGGGGAAAGATTAGGAACTCAAGTTCTGTCCTTGCCCTTTTTGTTCTGAGAAAATATTCTGATCTAACTTTTCTGTAGAAGAGGATTTCTATGAAAAGCTGGCAGCTTCTATTGCCCCGGAGATATATGGGCATGAAGATGTAAAGAAGGCACTGTTGCTCCTGCTAGTGGGAGGTGTGGACCAGTCTCCTCGTGGAATGAAAATCAGGGGTAAGAAAATCACTCATGGTGGATGAGATCATTTGGTAGAGGGTAAAAAGGATGGCAGGATACTAATGTCCTGTTAAGTCACAAAATAAGAGCTGGCATTTGGCTTCATGGACACCAGGAGAGCTTAGAAGAAATAATGGCTGGGTGTGAGGCAGAAGGCAAACTGCAAAGGAATTTTTCTGTTGGACATCTTGCCTTACGAGAATACTACTGGAATTGTCTTTCCCTTCTAGGTAACATCAACATCTGCCTTATGGGGGATCCTGGTGTGGCCAAGTCTCAGCTCCTGTCTTACATTGATCGCCTGGCCCCCCGCAGTGAGTAACAGGACCCTGGGAGAGGTGAATGTAGGAACAGGGATAGTTAGTACGGTGTTTAATTAGAAGGTGGGGTTGGGTGGAGAGAGCAAATCATGGGGAGGCTTGGTGGCTGGGTAAGAAATGTCACTAGCTCCGACACCCCACAGGTTTTCAGTGCTGTCCTCTCACTGATTTCTGTTTCTTGTGTCTTTCACTCTACTCTTGCTTCCTTCCTTATTCCTTTTTTTTCTAAACTCACCTGCTTAATCTCTTCCAGGCCAGTATACAACAGGCCGAGGCTCATCTGGAGTAGGGCTTACAGCAGCTGTGCTGAGAGACTCTGTGACCGGAGAGCTGACCTTGGAGGGTGGGGCCCTTGTGCTGGCTGACCAGGGCGTGTGCTGCATCGATGAGTTTGACAAGATGGCTGAGGCTGACCGCACAGCCATCCATGAGGTCATGGAGCAGCAAACCATCTCCATCGCCAAGGCAGGCATCCTCACCACACTCAACGCCCGCTGCTCCATCCTGGCAGCCGCCAACCCTGCCTACGGACGCTATAACCCTCGCCGGAGCCTGGAACAAAACATACAGCTTCCTGCTGCATTGCTCTCCCGATTTGATCTCCTCTGGCTGATCCAGGACCGGCCTGACCGAGACAATGACCTACGGTGAATGAAGCTCAACACCTAGAGACATTCCTTTCTGTTGATCTGTAGGGAGGGAGGTGACAATGGACAGTCCCTCAAATTCTCTGCTCATGGGAATTCCAGAGCCTTCCTCTCTTAAAGGTCCACAGTTCTTAGGGAAATGGTGGGTCTGGGTTGAAGTGATAATGATGATTTCCCAGCAAAATTTGTCCCTGCCAGGCCATGGCCAGGTGATGAGCTGAGGGAGAGATTTAGGGTTAGAGTATGATGTGTGTAACCCTAAAAGGAGTGTCCTGTCCACTCTTTCTAGGTTGGCCCAGCACATCACCTACGTGCACCAGCATAGCCGCCAGCCCCCAGCCCAATTTGAGCCTTTGGACATGAAGCTTATGAGGTACGATTGGATAAGGACAGGTATACGCAGGCGAGTTGCCAGCAGGAGGCAGTGTTTCTGGCCATGTGGGCCTCCTGAAAAGCTTTTAGTTCTGTGTATTACCTAATTCCCTTTGATGTGTCCTGAGTCTGAGCACACCATGTTTTCTTTCTTTTCTTTTTTTTTTTTTTGAGAGGTTTTTGCGATAAGGTGTGTGTGCTCGCCAGACAGAGAGAGACATAGAGACAGAAAGGGAGAAATCACCTCCGAGGAGGGATGGCCACACCACAATCCCTTCTCCATTCTTCTCTTGGGATCTTGGGCACACACACACACACAGGCGCCTGGCTTGAGTTTAAGCCACCAGGTCCGGGACACGAACCACGGTCGACTACGTGGGAGTCCAGCGACATAGCCATTACGCTAACTGCTAGTCCCAGCACACCATGTTTTCTGAAACTGCCTTTCTTGCAGCCTTTATTCTCTCCTGACCACGGGGTAAGGTATAGTCTTGTAGGCTAAACTGGATCTTGTTTCATGGTTACTTTATATCATTCACCCCCCCCACCCCTGCTATCTTCTGGTGATTTATCAGGTTTTACTCCTTTTACCTATTCTTTTAAACAGTTCTCTGTAAACTGACTTCCTGTTCTCTCTGACCGTAGCATATGTTCAAAGGGGAGGGGACTAGATCCACTCTTCTGAGATGGATTTGATTTTTCTTGCAATGGTCATTTTCCTGAAACACTGGAAATGACTTAAGACGTACCAAGGGCTGTACATTTAGAGAGGTGCGTTAGTAATTATCCATTGTTTTTCCTATTTAAAGTCACACACACACACGCACGCACACACCTACCACCACTCAGGTTTCCTTAAGTGGGGAACCTTTATGCAGAAAAAAATCATAAATGTGTTCACTACGTTCCTGTCTCCCTTTCCTGCTTTCCCACAAACCTCCTCTTCCGTAGACGTTACATAGCCATGTGCCGGGAGAAGCAACCCACAGTGCCAGAGTCGCTGGCTGACTATATCACAGCAGCTTACGTGGAAATGAGGCGAGAGGCTTGGGCTAGTAAGGATGCCACTTATACCTCTGCCCGGACCCTGCTGGCTATTCTACGACTTTCAACTGCACTGGTGAGTGCCTGGTCCCTGTGCTGCTAGATGACCATTGGGTTTGACCCCTTTGGGCACCTCACCTTAACATGATCCTCTCTCGGTGCCTCCTCCCTCCCACTCCAGCCCTGCTGGGGCTAAAGTGCTGACAGTGCAGATAGTGGTCCTCTCCGTGCTACCGCACTGTGGGTACTTGCTGCTCCAGCAGGGCACATGCAACACCTGCGGAGGGAAAGGCTGCCTCCCACTTCTTAAACCCCACTGAGGGTGGAGATGGGGTTAGTTTCACTCTCTGTGTCATAGATCTTATGCTCCAAATCTTCATTTCTGTCCTCTCATCTTGGACCTTGGTCCAGGGGGCTCCAAAGTGCTGTTCGTGCAGGTAGTGTGATTACCTGACCTACTGCTGAGCTAGCACTTCCCGAGCCCCTAGGACAAAACCTCTCTGCCAGTCACCTTCGTGGCTGAGCTCCCCAATCTCCATCTGTCATGGTGGGAAGCCGGAGTTCAGAAGGGTCTGGTCTCCCTCACAGGACAGCTGAACACCGGGACTGGCCAGTGTTGAGAGGCGGAGACTTGGGCAATTGCTGGACGCTGCCCTGGGCATTGCACTTGTCTCGGTCTGACAGTGCCGGCCCAACACTGCGGATTTTGGGGAGGGAAGGGGGAGTCTCTACTCTTGTTTGTGAGTAGGCAACTTTTGGGTTGCCCAGCTTTATGTGTGGACCAGGGGGCTTCCTGACGTTGTTCCACTCCTCTCCTCCTGTTCCCATCTCTCCCCTACCTTCTCCTTAGGCACGTCTGCGAATGGTGGACACAGTGGAGAAGGAAGATGTGAATGAAGCCATAAGACTAATGGAGATGTCAAAGGACTCACTTCTAGGCGACAAAGGGCAGACAGCTAGGTAAGTGGGTTTAGTGAAGGATTAAATTGAGTCACCATGACTTGATCTTGAGCAGATTACTTAGTTTTGTGGCTTTTTACATCCACATGTATTGAGGTTGGCTTCAGAATTCTAACACCACCATTCTCTGTTGATACTGAGTATTCTCGTTTGTGCCCTGATTTCACATACCTGCATGTTTCCTTCAGGACCCAGAGACCAGCAGATGTGATATTTGCCACTGTCCGTGAACTGGTCTCAGGGGGCCAAAGTATCCGGTTTTCTGAGGCAGAGCAGCGCTGCATATCTCGAGGCTTCACCCCTGCCCAGTTCCAGGCTGCTCTTGATGAGTATGAGGAGTTAAATGTCTGGCAGGTGAATACTTCCCGGACACGGATCACTTTTGTCTGATTCCAACGTGTTTACCCGCCATGGTTCATTCTGCATTCCATGCTGACCTGCCCCTTCTCAGGGTGTGATGATGCCACCCCTGATGAGGAGCCCCCCTTCTCCCTTTGCTGCACTTCAGTTTTATTTTTGCTAATAAAGTGTGTATAGGTTGCGACGTTTTTGTCCTGTCCTCCTCTCAGTGAATTTATGGATGAAGTACCTACTCTATTTGCTAGGCACCAATACTGACCCTGAGACTACAGTGAGGAATCTTTGGATAGAACCTCTAGTTTCTGATACTCCTCCTGTTCTTACTCTCCTGTTTATTGAAACACTTGTGGACCCGATTGTAGGCTGGTCAAGTTCTTTGTGTGTAGCACCAGCATGGGACACGGCCTCTTGGAACCTCTTTTTTCCTTTTCTAATTAACTTGCCAGAGGGTACATTTAACAGAAGTTGAGAAAGCACCCCCTGTGGGGAATGGTCACAGCAGTCCTTTTCTCTCTCCTGTCACAATTTTGGATGTCCACGTACCCAGCATGTTTTTCAAACCACTGGGTCCAAGATTTGGACTGCAGTTAGTTAGCCATGTGGGATCTAGCTGCCTTAACCACTGGCTGGTCCTCTTCCTTGACTATTTTTCTAAATGCTTCCATCTGACATCTCAATACTCAATCTTAGTCCCTAACTCCTACCCTAGAGCCCTGTTGAGATGGTGGAAATGGAGTTGGAAGGTGGTATGTGGAATTATACGATCTGGCACAGTGATGGAAACAGCTCCAACCATGAGAGTACTGGTCTTTGTAGGGAAGACACTGGCACCTCTGTCTCATGGGGCTAAGGTGCCATACTGGGAAGGTACACAAAAGGGGGACTGGAAAAGTTTGTAGGGAATGGGATTGCTCCGAGTTTATTGTGATGCAAAAAATTTGGAAACTGCCGCATAATTTCCCATAAATCCTTTGAAGACATGCTATATATACTCAGCAGAAATAGAGAAACCCAGATGTTTAGGCTTTCAGTTAACGTTGGAAAAAAAAAAAGATGTAGTCAGGGCCAGCATTGTGGTTAAAGGTGCTGGATTCCCACATGGCCGACCATGGTTCAAGTCCCAGACCTGGCAGCTTTCTCACTTCCCCTTTCTCTGGTCAAATTTTTAAAAATAATAAATGGAAATAGATTTTTTAAAATGATGTAGTCAGTTTGAGTTCTGGACCTAGCATAATGCGTCCCCAAAATCCCAAGAGGGATTGTGGCATGGCCATCCTGGGGAGTGGCTTCTTGCTTTCTGTCTCTCTGGCAAACACATGAACCCTGCAACAAAAATCTCTTTTTAAAAAAAATGTGCTTAACATCTCCCCATCCATCCCCTTTTGTATTGTGTGTGAACACTTAAAGTTTGGGAAAGTAGTCACCTATCATGTTTATAGGGGTTGATTCATGTACGCTTATATCATAAGGTGCTGTTTAAAGGGGCAACACAAAAGATCATTTATGTGGAAACAGGCAGTCCACCTGACGAGACATGAGGTCACACTGCAAGTGGCAATGAAACACACTAATGGGTGTTAAGAGCTGACAGAAAAGGGATTCTGCCTCAGCAAAGTCAGAACCAACAGCTCATTTTTAAGATGCAAGTTGAGAAACTTACGGGGTGCCTTAGAGAGAGGACAGAGCCACTGATAGGGGTGCTGAGGAGCTGTCCCCTTTTATTAATGACAGCAGTTTCTCTAAAGGGAGTGTAGTGCCCCTCCCCTTTGGGACAGTTGTCTGACCCCTGTGCATTATCCTTTCAAGTACTCTTTCATCAGAAGAAGAGCCCCCGCATTCGCCTGCCGATGCCTTGTCGATCATAGAGAACGTTGAACTTGTTCACAAACTGGTTCATGGTATTGCAGGTTTTGGTGATGGTGCCAAGGTAGGCCATGAGCCCCACGTCATTGCATTGCTGAGAGGGAACAGAAAGAACCAGTTTCCCAGAGAATCCCTCACAGTATGTCTAGGGAAAACTGAGTCCCATCCTTCATGCAAAAATGAGAGCCTAAGCCCCACCTCCCTGTCTGGGCAGGGTTTACACTCACATCATAAAAGTCTGTCTTGAACTTGTCTGTGCTGAGCACAGGGAGGCAGTGACACAGGGCATAGGCCTCCCGCAGGATCTCATGGTTAAAGGGAACCTCTCCTAAAGGTACACAAAGTAGCCGCATTAATGTGGATATTGTCACTACCCCAAGAGGGAGAGGAAAAACGGTATGTGTGAGGATAGGGGTTGATTCATGTACGCTTATATCATAAGGTGCTGTTTAAAGGGGCAACACAAAAGATCATTTATGTGGAAACAGGCAGTCCACCTGACGAGACATGAGGTCACTGCAAGTGGCAATGAAACACACTAATGGGTGTTAAGAGCTGACAGAAAAGGGATTCTGCCTCAGCAAAGTCAGAACCAACAGCTCATTTTTAAGATGCAAGTTGAGAAACTTACGGGGTGCCTTAGAGAGAGGACAGAGCCACTGATAGGGGTGCTGAGGAGCTGTCCCCTTTTATTAATGACAGCAGTTTCTCTAAAGGGAGTGTAGTGCCCCTCCCCTTTGGGACAGTTGTCTGACCCCTGTGCATTATCCTTTCAAGTACTCTTTCATCAGAAGAAGAGCCCCCGCATTCGCCTGCCGATGCCTTGTCGATCATAGAGAACGTTGAACTTGTTCACAAACTGGTTCATGGTATTGCAGGTTTTGGTGATGGTGCCAAGGTAGGCCATGAGCCCCACGTCATTGCATTGCTGAGAGGGAACAGAAAGAACCAGTTTCCCAGAGAATCCCTCACAGTATGTCTAGGGAAAACTGAGTCCCATCCTTCATGCAAAAATGAGAGCCTAAGCCCCACCTCCCTGTCTGGGCAGGGTTTACACTCACATCATAAAAGTCTGTCTTGAACTTGTCTGTGCTGAGCACAGGGAGGCAGTGACACAGGGCATAGGCCTCCCGCAGGATCTCATGGTTAAAGGGAACCTCTCCTAAAGGTACACAAAGTAGCCGCATTAATGTGGATATTGTCACTACCCCAAGAGGGAGAGGAAAAACGGTATGTGTGAGGGAGGCAAACGTCCTACCAGCTTCAGAGGCCTTGACGTACTCCAAGATGAGCTTGACACGGCTGTGCAGCATCTTAATGGCACTATGCTGTGCTATCAGGTGTTCAGCCACTGCAGGGAGACCGGGACAAACAAAGGTTGAAAAAGCATAATTGCTACATCTTGCACCCCCCATTTGCAAGGACTCCCCTCCATTACCAGTGGAGTTCTCTCCACTGCCTGTTGCCGTCATTCGTGCCACATGGTCTACACCAATGCGTTCTGCTTCCTCTGTGGCCAGAGTGTAAGTCAGCTCAGCAAATAGCATTGTGGCCTAATGGGCAGAGAGTATTATTCCACAGAGGGAGAGTCAAAAGCAGGAAACAAGCCAAGAGTGGGATTAGGGGACTGACGGGTAGGCTATTACCTCTCCATTAATTATATCAATGACAGACTCAAAAACGCTGACAGGAAGCTGTGAAAAGAGAAAACAGCTCTTTCTAACAGCAAATAAACCCAAACCAACATTATGTTCAAAAATTGCGCTATGTCTTTTACATATTTCCTTTCACCTTGGCCTGAAACCAGAGAAGTGAGGATAACCACCACTTTATATAATATGTAACTGGTAAAGGGCAGAATGGAGATTCAACTCCCGCGTTCCCCAGTAGAGAAGAGGTGAAGACAGGCACAGTGCTACACAAGCATAAGCCACGACAAAGTGGGTATAGGGTTAGCATTACTCACATCTGTGTGCTTGGTCATAGGGTTCAACTTAAGAAAGAGAGGGCTCTCGATGATCTCACACACCTACAAGAGAGGGACAAAATATAAGAAAGTCAGTGATCCATCTTCCTTTCACCTGTTCGTACCAGCATGAACAGGTATAGGCATGTATACCTGCTTATGGACGTGGATGTCGGAGGGATCAGGTGGCCCTCCTGTAGTATACCAACCCAGAAATTCCAGCTCCTTGAATACCTGTTTAACTGGAGAAGAAGGGACCAGAGCAGCACAGAGTATTTCTTTAAACCATCCTTTCCTTAATTTGATGCTTCTGCTGTCCTTTCACCAGCTTCATTCTCCCTTCCATCCTCAAATCCTAACTCAGTTTAGCTCTATTTTGTCTTCTCTTGTCTCTTACTTTCTTTTGGGGGGGAAAACCTGGATGTATTCATTATCTGGGATCTCTTCAGCTATTCTCTCTTACCTTTCCTCATCTGTTTTCATACTTCTCTGCTGTTTATTCCCAACACTTTCCATGTATTTTGTTTTCACTCCCCCTCCTCTCCCATTTCTAGCCCCCTCTCACACTGCTCCTCCTTGGTGTAATAATATTCTTTGTCGATGATAATCTTCTCTTCCACGGTATGGGACAGCAGTTCAAAGGAGTTCATCACTTCAATATTTCGGCCTTCCTGCTTCCCAATCAGAGCCCCAATCACTAGGGGAGAGAACCAACACAGGAAAAGGTGAAGGTAAGGAATCTGGAGACTTTTCCCTGATCATCTGAGCGTCTGGGGCCAGTGTGAACTAAGTAGAGAGGGAAACAGTGATTGGGGGGACGGAAAATTGGCTGCAGTAAAGGGCAGAAAAAGACCACTGCTTAAGGAAGGTGACCAAGAAGAGAAGACTGAATTATGCCGAACACTCACCCTGCATAGGCCTTCCCTCCTGGGATCGCATGCGGATCCAGTGGTCCGAGATGTTGAGAATGACAAGGGGATGAAGAGCAACTGAAACACTCCCAGTTACCCCGGAGGCCATCACGCTGGGGACTACTATGGGTGGAGGGGAAGGAGAGGTGAGAGTTGGGGCCACACTTTCTTCCCTGGAGATGGGAGTGGAGGACCAAGGCGCCCGGGCCATACATCCCTCCCGCAAGTTAGCCCGGGGAGAGATGTTGCTGTGCCGCCCTTCTGACTTCTCCTTGAATCGGGGGAAGGGACTCAGCGCAACCATGAAGCCTGTCCCCGGAAGCTGACCATGGCACGGCCTGTTACCTGCTGCGTCCACCTCCATCCCGCTGCTCCCTCTGGTCCCGTTCGCTGCAGCCGCCGCCGCCATTTTCCCCCGGCCCGCCCGCC